ATTCATATTTTTATTGATTCTCTTGAATTTGGGACGAACAATTGTTTTTATTTTATTTTTTACTTCCTTGTTTTTAACATTGCGTTTCCATCAGCCGATATCACACTCGCTTATTTTTAATGACTGTAGTCTGACTTTCTATTTATATTTTTATGAATTTGGGACGAACGACTATTGTTAATTTTTTATTTCTTTGTTTTTAACATTGAGGTTCCATCAGGCCATAAAAGCCGCAATTTTTTTAAACCAAGATAGCACTCAACTTTTTGTAAAAGAATGTTCTCGTAATTATATTCACTTATTATTAGCTTCGTTTTCCGCTTATAATTAGATTTAATAATCTTTTTTATGTTGGGTCTCAATGCTGTAAAAATTGGTCGTTCTTATTTTCTGTAATAATGGCGCGTAGGAATTTAAAAACTGCTTTCATTATATACTGAAATGGACTCTGGTCGCTCTCATTCAACTGGAGCTTAAAATCATAATTTATTTTCGTGCTCGAACATGTATTGATTGGTCCTCACGCGACTGTTTTCATGACTTATTTTCGATGCCAGGATTTCCGAGAATTTTAGCCTGAGGCTTGCTTGCTTGGTGAGGGAGCAACGTTGATGGCGCTGAGCGGTGCTTCCACTGTCAGGAGACGTTCGCAGATTCGTTAAATTTCAATGCACATTATTTTGTCTTGAAAATTCCTGTGGATATAATAAAATTTCTGTCTCTATTTATTAAAGGTTTTCTGTTCCCGCTGTTGAATGGATACCCTGAAATCGTGAAAAAGTGTGATGACATTTAATCAATTCCATATTTGCATAACGTTCATCGTTGATGGGTCATGGTGAAACTTATCTCAATTAACTGGATCTGGTTAATTTGGATTTAACTGGATCTAGTATTTGGATGCTACAACGCGCTCGCATCTTCATAATATGGCAATTAAGCATTGCCAATCTCCAATGGCGACGTCCGTGTTGAATAATTTACAATATTGTGTACAGCTATTATTATTGGTCTCCACTCATTATTATTCGTGTACGCCTATTGTTATTGATGTATTGAGTTTTCCAGATTACCTGCAAATTGCGTCAGATACTCAACAAAATTCAGCCATGCCATCGCGACGCTTAGTTGGAAGTGTGATGAATAATTTTAGACCACGATAATCCGCTGCACATCAAAGCAGCTCATTTACGGATCGAATTATCTGTCTTCTTGTGGAGATCAATCATTTTCCAATTCTTGCTTGCGTTTGCTTCAAATATGGCTTAAGTTTATTCTCTTTATGAATTCCGATCCCCGTCTTCTTGATCTTATTGGATGGAGTCGCGTTTGTCTTGCCTTGTTTCATGTTATGTAGCTAATTTCTTTAATTATTTACGGGAACAACGTTCGCAATTAGGTTCCGTCTGATAATTGTGGATCACGAATAATGAATATGTAGTATGTTACCTGCTTGAAAACAATGGTATGAAACTTAAATCGGAATGTTATCAGTGATTTATATTGTTGAATGCTGCGAATTTTTATCGTCCAAGCTAACACTAAAATATTTCTGGGCGATATTTCCGTGGAGAATTCATTGCTGTTACTTCTGGCAAAAAGTAACGGCAATCCTCAAGCTGCCCTGAGTCAGATTCATTTGGTAGTGCATGGCCACAGTGTCCGAGTTTATCTTGGTGTTGCACGCCGCTACCAAAAGCTCCGGCTTGTATTTGTTGCTCAAAAGTATAGTAGAGGACCGACTGCGGCCAATCGAACTGTCAGTGCAATTGTGGCTGCAGTCTTTGCGACTCCTCTTTGCTCGTTCTCGGACCTGACAGCTAATTTGCCCATCCAAAAGTTATCCTCACCTCGAGCGTTTTGTCCGCGGTCGTCGGTAAACATGTGCGCATCTTTTGATCCGTTTTGTACAATTTACTTTTATATGTCCTGGGGCCATACTTTCAAAACTCGCTAAGTGAACGTAGGTACTAACGCTCTATTTTCTTGTCTATGATTGGTGTATTTTGCTGGAAAGGCCGTCAATGATTGGCTGATGAACTTACGATCTCTTAACTCTTTTTTAAAGTAAAGGCCCTGGTTTTTACGGCTCTAAGTCCGTGCTCATGGATATTTGATTCCTAAATTTTACTCCACGTCTAATATCATTAATACCTTCATGAGGGAATAACGTCGATTCACAGGGGTCAGTTTGCATATTAATTCTGCTCCGTTTCTCAATAGTTAAATAGGATTAGGAACCTTTCATCAGTTTTTTAACTTTCATCAGGGTGCATGCATACTTTTACAACGTTACAATCGTTCTATCTATGCGGCTGATAAGGGGGTATTAAATACATTGTATTGGATTATACTCCGATCATTGGCTACTCAAATAAATGATATTGCTCGATCGGTCACAACTTAGCATCAATCACAGGTCGTCTCATCAAACTTTCAGGAAATCGAATTGCGCGTTCAGAAACATACATTAAAACATACCTACATAAGATTTGCAGTATTTAAATAAAGGAACGATAATGTTCTTTAGAATTATTTATTACCGGTGCTTTCTTTTTTCTAGAATTAATTTTTATCTCTTCTGTAAAATATGATATTTGTATAAAAAATTTCAGCTTTTTTAACGTAATTTGCGTTTTAACTTAACTTGATATGCAATGGTTAATCCGCAGCTAGAAGATTCTTTGAACTTGATTTAATTGGTTCAAAAGTTACTTCAAGTTGTTATAACGTTGATACTTGAATTTACATGCCTCACCGGCATTGTCGATAAACTTGAAATGCCCAAAAATTATCCCGGCACTCTAATGAGACGTGAATAGGCCGTTCCATTTTTTTTTGGTTATCGTGAAAACTCGAATATATGCTAATTTCTTTAAATTTGCTGTAAAACTCGGATTAACCTGAAGTTTTTGAATGTATATATTATTGAAATGATGAGGAATTTTTGTGTCAATAAGAATTTAATGAGACGTTAAGCATTTTATTTTGAAACGCATCATTTTAGTTTTCGAAATGTCAATTGAAGATGAGTGCAATTAAGATTGATGGCCTTGACGTTCAAGCATAAATTATATTTCTGTACCAACTTCATTGTATATTTTTCAAAAATCATTTTCAAAACTTAGTTGAGTGTTCTACATGTGTTTAAGCCGCTATCTCTCCGCAAAAGTTCATTAGTTGATCTGTTGTGATGTCTTTAAATTTTACTTACCAAAACAGAATTAAAAAACAGAATTAGGTTTTGACGGCAAATTTTGTACGAATTAGGCAAATTAGTCTTTTGAATTATTAATGACGGCAAATTCTTTGACGCCCGTCAAAACTTCGTTTGAATTAGGTTATAGGTTCTTTGTTTGAATTAGGTTTTAATGACAATCGTCCCTAATCTTGAATCTTTTTCTATCGTGCTTCTCGTTCCTCACTCGAGCGAGGGCATCAAGTGTACCGTGAGCACACGTGTCGTGCTACGCCGCTCTCCTGATTGATCAATTCCCGTCTGGGGAATATTAATCCCCTGCATAGTAATACGGTGCACAATGGCCGACGGCTTCTCATAATGGGCACCCTCAACAAACAACTTTTGTTCCTATCGACAGCAGCGGCACTGCTAGCCGCGTTCTATACACCTTCTCCCTTCAACCGACCTTTGTCGGAGTTTACACTCGGGACCTGTTTAGTACTTGCCCCGAAATTACAGCTTTTCGTATATACCTCGTCTGTATTCGTCTGTATTCCCCAAATTACAGCTCTTCGTATTCCTCGTCTGTATTCGTCTGTATTCCCCAAAGAACAGCTCTTCCTATTCCTCGTCTGTATTCGTCTGTATTCCCCAAATTACATCTCTTCGTATATACCTCGTCTGTATTCGTCTGTATTCCCCAAAGAACAGCTCTTCGTATATACCTCGTCTGTATTCGTCTGTATTCCCCAAATTACAGCTCTTCGTATTCCTCGTCTGTATTTGTCTGTATTCCCCAAAGAACAGCTCTTCGTATTCCTCGTCTGTATTATGGAACGTTCTTAAAAATCTGTTAGTAAAATCGTTTGGAAAATGCGCTATTGCCTTTGCTTGTTTAGTTAAGATATCTGAATTGTTCTTTTAAATTTATTCTCGGTCATTTCCAAAACATTGAATACAACTAACTCATAATTAATCACGAACATTTCTCAAAGCTTCAAATACGAATTCCATTCATTCTTACTCCTCAAGCGCCACCCTCTATTCGCAGCATTAATTTATTCCTACACTTACTGGAATGACTCGGTATTAGTGAAGCGAGGTACTGCAATAAGCGGCCGCACTTCCCTTGGTGTCGCCAAGTGTCCTTTGGACGCCAATTGCTGCTATTAACAGACATCATCCGTTTCCTGCAATGCTTTCTATTATAGGTTTCACCTCGGCACCTTTCCTGCAATGCTTTCGATTATAGGTTTCACCTCGGCACCTTTCCTGCAATGCTTTCGATTATAGGTTTCACATCGGCTCCTTTCCTGCAATGCTTTCGATTATAGGTTTCACCTCGGCACCTTTCCATTATAGGTTTCACATCGGCTCCTTGTGAGAATTGTATTTCCGGTTCCGCTCAATGATTTGCGAATGTTCTTTTTATATTCATCTTCTGTGATTACGCACTGCAAAGGGAAAGGCTGTGGTTACTAGCTGAAGTATTTTTATCGAGTGCTGAATTACATTGTGGTAAAGCGCTCCGTATACACTTCGTGTATTCATTACTTGCTCGTAAATTAAATTTGTTCGCGACCATCAAGTGACGAAAATCGATATCAATATATAGTATTTTTTTAGATGTTATGTCATAGTTTAAGAATTGAACATAATTGTATATATTTTTGTAGGCTTATGATATAATGTAATCTTATCATTGGTTAATTTCAGGCCCATACACCAGTATTTTGACGGCTTTTGCTCTAAGCCTTTCTATTAGATACTTCTTACAGAAATTTTTGGTGAACTAACTTAATTATTTTTTTTATTTCAGCGGACAAAGATGTGCTGGTGTTCGAGGGCAACCGAACCCACAACGACCACTTCAAGCTGATGCTCCATGACGGCGCCGGCGCCATGCTTATCGGCGGCAGGTCAGAATTACTTATTTCAGCTTCCTTGTTTTGCTTTCACTCCTATTGTTATTGTTGTTTTTCACTTCTTTCATTGTTATTGTTTCAAGATCTCAGAATAAATTATTCCAGCTTCCTTGTTTTGCTTTCACTCCTATTGTTATTGTTGTTTTTCACTTCTTTCATTGTTATTGTTTCAAGATCTCAGAATAACTTATTTCAGTTTCCATGTTTTGCTTTCACTCCTATAGTTATTGTTGTTTTTTCACTTCTTTCATTGTTATTGTTTCAAGATCTCAGAATAAATTATTCCAGGTTCCTTGTTTTGCTTTCACTTCTATAGTTATTGTTGTTTTTTCACTTCTTTCATTGTTATTGTTTCAAGATCTCAGACTAACTTATTCCAGCTTCCTTGTTTTGCTTTCATTTCTATAGTTCGCAAGATCACAAATCGTCCGATGAAAGAATTTTAATACTTACATATCGGAACCCTTGCAATTACATTATACAACTAATTGTTGCTCTATTTAACTTGCTAATTTTCAATTTATAACTCAATTGCTATCTACGTTGTTCATCAACTGCTCTTAGTTGAAAAAATTGCGCTTGGACTGTAGTTATGGTAGTTCGAATAATAAGGGAGGGTTTTAATCAAAATACCCAAGCGCGAATTGTGCAACCTCCTTCAGTCTCATTTTTAGTGATTCGAACAATTATTAACATGTGCAGGAGTTTACATTGAATGCAACTGCTATGATACCTGTTATTAATATCATTAGCATTCGTCTCCCATTTTTATGATAACAAAGATACTTTTTCTGTTATATTTTTCAGTCTGGAAATTCTCGTATAAACTGATGTCCATATGTATGCTTTTTTGTTCGTATTTTAATTTAGAAAATTATTAACTTTATAAATGGATAAGCAGTAAGCAATTATTTAACACGTATATGTTGTTTATTCAACAAATCTTCAGATTTAAGGTGATCGTTAAATCGTTTCGTTAAGGTGATCGTTAAATCGTTTCGTATTAAATCACTTAAATATTAATAAATCACTTAAATCGTATGATATTATTCACCAGAAAGGTTTTGCGTGCATCCGAAGTGCCATCATGGGCGCGAAATAAGAAATGCAGTCGTTATGGAGCTGTGGTCTGTGGTGGTAGCGAGTCGCTTCAAAGCTGTGCTTTATGGCCTAACTTTGCTCTAACTCCTCTGACGGTCACGCTCCCTGAATTTGATGCATTGAAGTTCACCGGAGGAATAAATCTTAGGGGCGGCCTATGCCCTGTTCCTAAAGTTTGCTACACGAGTAGATGACTTCCTGAAACACACGTAAACATTTTGCACACAAACCAGGGCCAATGACAACTGTAGCTACCTGCCTCATGGTCGCGCCATGGCATAGGGATAATGCCTTCCTACTACTGCCTTGACGTTTTGGCCACAGCGAACTTGCCCATAATTACCCTATAATATATACCCTTTAATTCTCTATAATTACCCTATTTTATTACCCTATAAATTATCCCGAATTACCCTATTATATTTACATTAATATAATCACGTCGTATTATTTCTTTGTTGACTAGTTTTTGTTTCCTAGAAAATTTTTTTTTGTTCCGGTGAATACATGTTAAATTAAAATTTTTTAAATAATTCATCTTATGAATAACCAATATATTTCTTATTTTATCTCGTGTTCTTTAAATTGAATCTAAATCCAAAATTATTTTTACTTAATTTCTCATCCTCGTACAAATCGCATTCGCTCTTCCACTTAAGTATCCAGGCACCGGGCAGTCAATTGTTAATCGATTTAGCGACTTGAATTTTACATGATACGTACCTGTACAATACATGTCATTGTTAGTCAATACGAAAATCATGAAAGGCGCCTATAGTAACTAATGGTCTCGAGGCTAATGGTCTCGTGGCGGCCATTAGAAACCAGAGCAGATTAGCAAGCTAAGGAGAGGTTATGGCAGTTTGGCACATACACGGCGGCAACTTAACCTGAAATATGAAGTTTGACTTTGGCGATAGTTGTTTTATTGCCTATAGGTATCGTCAAGGTGCGTGAAGTACAAACAGTTTGAATCCGACTTTCCATTCGTCATCTAGAAATCGTATTGAAAAAATTACTTCTCCTAACAATAAAAACACGCAAAAACACGTAATAACTCTAAAATAATAGGTTACCATTGCACTACAATAATAGCTACAATGAAGATTAGAATATTGAATTTAATTTTTCGACGAAGCATCGAGAGCGCGTTATCGATGGCACACGCAATCGGGGGCTACGGTGGCCATAGCGACTGCGTTGATGCGAGATATGCCGCAGGGCAGGGGAAAGCGAAACGGCTGAATAAATATTAATTATCAATTATAATGATCCAGTTTATCGACGGCCAATTATCGCGGCAGCGAGCGAGCCCATAATGACCTGGGATGGGGCGGGCTCTATTCGCGTGTTGTGCGCTGTTCCAGAGTCTCATATTCTTGTTGCCTTCGCAGCCAATGATTGTAAATCCTGGAAACCTAAAAAATCAAAATATTAAGTTATCGTGACATGTAGTTTTTAACTATTGTTTTTCTTTTGTTTCAGAAATATGATCTACAACGTGTCTTTACATGACTTCAAAGTACAAAATGTGAGTATTTACGGGATAACTTTTGGTTGAATGTTGTGGGAATTATTAATGAAATGCTAGCGAAAAGCGAACGGAATAAAAAAAGTGTTTTATACAAAATATCTCAGCGATTCTCCTGTATTCGTTTCCTTAATACTGCTGTCAGGTATCCTTCTTTGCAACTGCAATGTTAGATATCAAATACTATTTTGAAGAAGTTTTAATTACATCTCCGCGCCCGTTACCCGGTATTTTCGACTACTTTCAACGATTGCATGTGCAAGGGGGCGCGTATCCCCCAGTCTGACCATCTGTCTACACGCCAATGTCCGTCTCAATTTCCTGGTTCGACGCTTCCCTTAATTTTTGCGTTGGCTGAAGCTGCCCCCTATACGTTCATTGATATCGCTTTAGACGTGCGGCAGCCTCATGTTAATATTCCTTCCTCGCTCCGGAATGATGGACGGAAATGTGTTTCGTTCTTTACGCTCATATATTTATAGCTGCTTGCATCCTCTGCGTGTCGAAAATCGAATCAGGCGTCGGCAGAGGCGTCGTCCGGAACGTTAGCACCTCATTTCGATGGAAGCAAGGTTTAATGTATCTTTTTACGATTCGCTCTTGCACGCTTTACGCCTTTATTTCGTCGAGATGAACGGGATGAATTGATGTGCTTACGCTTACGTCTTTATGGCACTGTTTAGAAATTAATGTTTCTTGTACGTGCGAGGTATTTGCTGTAAACTATTCATTGCTGGTTTGAACGTAGATCGTCGTTAGATCATACTTGTGACGTATTTATTATCATTTTCGTACGTATTATCATTTAAACGTTTAAAATAAAGTATTTGTTCCGTGCAAAATTTTAGCTCGACTTTGCAGAGCGCCGCCAATTTCCTGGTCGGTCATTTTGACCAACATTTCTTTCACGTTTTCACCATCAAGCTTTTGACTCCAACATCTTTCGGATTTCGCTTATGTTTTAAATCGACTGAGCCCGGACCGAGACAGTACAGAGACCAAGCACTCTGATTCACACATTCACATGCAGCCACAGCATAGATTCTTCATTAACAACTCTAGTATTGTATACGAAAAGCCATGCAGAGTGCTCTAAGCTCTTCTATTGTTGCACGGAAGTTCTGAGGGTGACAGCGTCGCTTCCAGCTTTCAATAAGCGGTTGGGCGCCAGAGCTTGCCTTCAGTTATGTAATGGAGCGTAAACTCCCTTAGACCTTCTTAAGACTCCCTCCGGCTGTTTGGTTGACTGTAGCTTAGTTTCGAAGTAAGCCACATTTCCTTTCTTAGGGTACGTACGCAGTGAAAGCAGGTTTGCCCGCGCGGGCAACCTGCTCCAACCTGCCACAAGAATGAATATAGGATAATAATGTAAGTGTTCACAGTGAAAACCTGTACGAATAGGCTTCTGTATTCTATGGTTTCAGGCGCCAACCTGAGCAGGTAACCATCACGCTGGCAACCTGCTTTCACTGTGTGCGTACCCTTATGTGGGTGTTCGCTTGGCTCCTGAATATGATGCTCGTCGATTCATTATTATTAATTAGAGGTTTACCCGATTTTAATTGATTTCTTTTATTTTTCGTTGCTTTATATTATCACCATGTTTGTACAAATAACTTCTGTATATACGACGGTAATTTAACTTGTTTGGTATTCTTCAAATCCTTGACGTGAAGTTAAAAACCTTGTGTGACAATAAAATATGTGAGACTTCACTTACTAAATGTAATTCACTTCACTAAAATATTGAATAATTTTCAATATTTTGCAACTTGTAAAATGTGTCGTCATCATTCATGCTGGGTTCAATAGTTTTTTATATACGTGGGTCTAAACGGTATCATTATTATTTCCATTTTAGAAAACGGGTCAAAAAATTGACGTTCTTCTCACGCTTTTAGCAATATAACGGAATAGAAGCATATAGAATGTGCTGTCGTCACTGCTACGGACAGTGATTCACATTAACCTTTTTGCGTTGGCGGACTATGTTTTTTTTTTGTATACGTGGGTCTAAACGGTTTCATTATTATTTCCTTTTTTGGAAAACGGGCCGAAAAATTTACGTTATTCTCACGCGTTTAGCAATATAGCGGAACAGAAGCATATAGAATGTGCTGTCGTCACTGGAAATGAAAGTGATTCACATTAACCTTTTTCTTGCGTTGGCGGACTATGTTTTTTTGTATACGTGGGTCTAAACGGTATCATTATTATTTCCATTTTAGAAAACGGGTCAAAAAATTGACGTTATTCTCTCGCATCTAGCAATATAACGGAAGAGAATGTTTTGCAATATAACGTCACTGGAAATGAAAGTGATTCACATTGACTTTTTTTGCGTTGGTGGACGAGTGATCTTGCTGTCGCTGCATCGATCGGTAATTAAATTCCTGCTGTGCGCCTGATTTCCCTGAATTCCACTCAATGAAATTTACAAGTAATTCTCTTGACTTTCATTACAAGGTCCGGACGCGTCTTTTGGGGCTTGCTTCTAACCACATTGAGATAGCTTGTAGATGAATTCGTTCAGCCATTGCTTATATGTATATAAATATATTGTATACTCGTATTGTATACAATATAAATATATTATATATTCGTATACAATATATGTAAATATATTGTATACAATATTTATACCAATATTTATACCTGAGTATAAATATTGAATACCCGTAGCCATTTTTTATGTAAACGACTGAGTTGTTTCTCGGCATTTTCGACATTTATTTAAATGTAACCTCTTTCACTTCATCTATTTGAACGTATAACATAAAAAATATAACTCAGTACTCACTACAGTGAGTGACAGAGAGCGCATTTTCTCGTCAACGAAAACGTGGTCACGGACGGACGGACGGGTGGTCACGGACAGACGGACAGACAGACGGACATTACGAACACAATAGAGCTTTCTTTTCCATAAATGAGAAAATGCGCTAAAATAAGGAAAGTCAGATCAAATATGGTATCACTTCATTTAAAACGTGTTCATTAGTTTTCCTTCCGCTTCTTGTCGTTCATGATTTTCATAATATGTATTACTCGGCTTCATTTGTATGAGGTTATGACCGAGTAAATCGTTTGATGTGTATGAGAATTCATTGAAATCTGAACGAAAAGTATGCCGTTAGATGTTCATTGATGTTTCCTATTGTGAAAACATATTGTGATATACATTTTTTATTGCAGAAAATCGAATGGTTTCCAGGGCATTCGCCTAAGGAATCGTGTTACCTCAAAGGTGGCTCAGATGAACTATGCCAGAACTACATCCGTATTTTAACGCACAAAGCGCCGGGACAATACATCATCTGCGGCACAAACGCCTATGACCCCATGTGCCGCGAGTTCAAATTAGAGGTAAGGTTTGTCGCGTGAACGTAGAATTGCCTTCGTTGATATGTAGAGCGGCCGGGTCTCGGCAATTATACACTGGCATGTTCATGTACACTAGCGAGATATTTCGCACACATACGTTTGTTCGTTCGTGTGACTATTATTGTCTTTTATCTGAATTAATTTATTTTAGATTAGTTCATTTGGCTTACTATTATCAATGCATGCTGGTCTGACTGTTATGCTGTAAGGTTATCGTGCTGTTATGAATTAGCGTGATCACACGCTAATCTACGGATATTACTACCAACATTTTATTATATCCAGTAAAATGCATATGATTTCTTGAAAAAATAAATATTGTGTCATTTCCGATCAAATTCTGGTTTCATAATATATTCTTCTAGTTTTATACGTAACTATTTTTAAATTTTGAACGTAATTTTTCTCGGACGTTCAGAATGGGGCACTACAGATGGAAAGAGAGTTCCAGGGGCGGGGATTGTGCCCGTTCGGTCCTTCACACAACAGCACTTCGGTGTTCGCCGGTTCGTTTCCTTCTGACGCTCATTGATTTCCCTTTGAAGTCTTCTTTTCATGTTTGTTTGTTGAAGGAGTTATTTAATTTTAAAGCGCCCCGGTGAGATGTTGTCAAATTACTGAGTAAATTTAATTACTGAGGACAGACTTGAAATTTTTCTTAACGATTTGACGAGCAAATGTGTGAATTGAGATCAGTCTTTGATGTATCTGTATTAATTATTTTTCTCTTGATAATCTTTTGAGACGATATATCCTAGAATTAATACTTTATTATAAAATTCATTACCCAAGCTATGTTTTTGTGGTTTAATCATTATATCCAAATTGTCTTTTAGAAAATATTATCTTCATAAATTTTAATTTTACAAAATAACTAATATTTTTGAAACTAGATGGACAACTGTACGTGGGCTCGGTGGCGGACTTCGCTGGTCTGGAGCCGCTGATCTACCGAGAGCCTCTGCGCACAACTCGCTACGATCTCTCCGTGCTCAATTGTACGTACATCGCCTGCTGCTTTTTTCACTAAAACGAAGAATTTCTGCAATAATTTGATTTTCTGCAGCAAATATTTCCAAATATTTGGAAGCCATACACACATTTGTGGAACAGTGATAAACGATTTATGCACTTCAGACAATAACGTTTTGGTTTTTCTGCATCAGAAGAATATTATTGTCCAAATTGATCGACAGTTTTCATTCAGCTTTCGTTGTTCACCTTTCAAAGACGATCTGGACTGTGATAAATTCAATGGCTGTCATGAAACTTTTTTTACATTTATCTAAATTTCTGATGGTCGCATTTTTAAAAAGATTACCGTAGAATTTTTACTATTTGTGATAAGCATGCAGCATCTTATTGAAGTGACCGGCAAGGCCGAGGGAACATTATTTACTATACATACATATTTTCATGAAGGCATAGCTCAACATTTAGCTTCACCGCCCTGACAACCTTTTCCTGCCAAACTCTCAGTATTAGGCCTATGCATTCTATTGAAGCACAACAGCGGTTGAAGAGGAGGCTTTTTATGGGCGCATTGCCTCGACGTAATATCTTGGCAATGATTTTATTGCTGAACATCTCATCCAGAACGAGCCTGTTGGCCTCGTGCTTCTCCTCTTATTACATTGCTTGCTGTTAGAAAAAAACGGTGAAAAAACGGTCCCACCGGCATCCTAGTGGCCGGTCGCCCCGTGAAAATGAACGATTTCGCCGTTTTTATCAGATGTTTTACGGATTTTTGGTGTTAAATTTGAGTAAAAACGGTGAAACTGTGTTTCTTTTCACGTGCCGACCGGCCACTGAAACGCTGGTAATACCATTAACGGTCATTTTTCTAACAGTGTGCTTGCTGTTTGTCTCGCGGATTGCTGGGTTCAGTGGTCGTACCAACAGCTGTCTTCGCATGTATTGTTTGTATTCACATGTATTCATTTGTATTAGCTGTCTTCACATGAGATGATACAAACGTGATCATAACGGACATTATAGTGATTATGATTTCAACGATAAGAGTTAGAAAGTGAACTATTATTCGATCGGCGAAAAATATTACTGTGTCAATTGATACATATTTTATTAAAATAAATAATGACCATTTATTTCCAGTAAATGTTTGCATCACTCTATGTTAATTACGTATATATGAATACTTCAATTACCGTGATCCTGATGGTAGGAATAGATTAAATAACTCATATATACTAGATTTTATTTGAGAGTTACAGCCACATCGCATGTGTTTTTGAGCCGAGTGTTAATAACATGAAGTGTTATTAACTGATGCTGCCTAAATTATATGGGGAATATACCCGTAAATATTCGTGCTTGTTTTTTTTAGCGCTAGTTCATAACTTTCAGTTACTATTCTTGCATTTTGACGATGGTTAAGTGAAATTGCGACCCGAATGCTAGACCTCGTAGGAAATAAATCAAACATCCTTATTACGTGAAACATTTTTTTATCAATGGCTATGTTTTCTCATGCTATATTTTTAACAAATTTTATCCCTACCATGGTACGTATCTATATTCGATTAAATATTCAAATCAACCTGTTCTGAGCTCAAAACTGTTGACCAAGCAAAAAAGACTTGTTGACCAAAGCAAAAAAAGAAAAAAAAAAGAAAAACAAGTCAAAAAAAGCAAAAGACAAGTATTTGTACCAAAACTGAGTAGAATATTTCATTTCGATTGCCTGTTGCACAAATTAGCTGTAGCTTTTAAATACTGTTGATACAATAATGGCCGCTGAGATCGCTTTTAAACCCTCTTGCTAAAATAAGTTGCAGTTATCATCTGCCATGCAGAACGAGGAGGGCAAGCATGTCGGTAAAATGCTGCTGGTGCAGTAAAAGGTTTGTAGGCATTTTTTATTATTATTATTGGCGAGCTTGCATTACCGACTATCGTAGAGAAACTCTTCGGTCGGTGCTTTCCAGGATACGGCAAGCGTGCCGTTTCTTATCCATTACAGAAATTTGCAACCAGGGGAAGACTAGAGAAACGTTTGCTTTTACGAGGAGCTTGCATGTAGTGATCTCGCCTGGGGCCGTTTGTTGCGTCCTGTCGAGTGATGGTTACAGACAAGCCTCTTATGCGTCCGCTCTGGGACGAACTCTCATGTACTGCTTACAGCTTCTGCAACAAGTCCCCACAAATGTTACGAGCCTCCTTTTTTGCAGTCAAATTCTCAGCCAGTTTCTGTAAAAATTCACAGGCTGTTTTTATTATTATTTTATGTAGTACAACATTTCTTGAAGTTTATCTAAAATTCTGTCATGCCCGTCTTTTTAAAATTTATCATGCACAATGATTTTTGTGAAGTGATGGTTGGCTTCATTTTCTAAAATGAATCCGACGCGATAACAACCCAAACCACTATCTTGAAGCGTCGCTTACTTCGGAAATATTCATAACTAATTGTAGCTAACAATTATGTCATACCTAATGAGGCTAGTTGTGGCTTAACTTCCTAAACTCAGAGTCTATTTTTACTCTTAACATTATTCACTAGCGCATTTCTCACAGCCACATCACTGCCACTTCCATGCCTGTTTGGTTACTTCTTTTCATTGTAAATTAATTGAAACGACACTCGGGCAAATAAGTATTAATAATTATTTGCAATTATTGCAAATAATTGAATAAGGAAATTGTAAAGCGGCTCACAAGTTCCGTTTGGTTGCAGCGCCCGACTTCGTGAGCTCGTTCGCGCTCGGCGACTTCGTGTACTTCTTCTTCCGCGAGACTGCCGTCGAGTACCTCAACTGCGGCAAGGTGAGTCAGGTGTCTCAACTGCGGCAAGGTGAGTCAGGTGTCTCAACTGCGGCAAGGTGAGTCAGGTGTCTCAACTTCGTAAAGGTCAGTCAGGTGTCTCAACTGCGACAAGGTGTCTCAACTGCGACAAGGTGTCTCAACTTCGTAAAGGTGAGTTGGCTGGCGTTCTTGTCCGCCGTTGACGTGGAGCACATCTCACATCTCGGGCCTGCTCTTGAGAGGCCGTGTGTGCCCAGGCGCTTAGTTACATTGGAGGATTGTGGCTCTGAGAGGCTGGGGAGAGCTTTCTTCAACAGTCTTTCTTGAGTAATTGCTTCAATTTTGGTGATGATAATTTAGAGGTACTGTGCTCTACAAAGTATTACAGTGCAAAAGACCTAGAATAGAATGGTTTCTTAGCTGTGGTGAATTATTGTAAGTATATGTAAAATCTTATAAAAAATGTCGTGTGTGGCAGCTCATGAAAATGAAGTACTAAATCTGCAGTGTATGTATTGGCCGCATATTCCTGAAGAGTGTCCATTATTAATTAATTTAACTGAAACTATTTTGCAGTGAAAATTAATTTTACTCTGCGTCCGCGGGTGTTCAGTTCTCGAAATTTGAACAGGCGATTAGTATGGGTTTCACATTTAAGACGTTAAATGCGTTTCTTCTAATAAAAACTTCTATTTTATTGCCAGAATTGTGAGACAATTGAATATGAGATGAGTTTAGACATCAGTAGCCTGATGGTGTTGATGGTGGAACAGCTCAATTGTCAACTTATTCTTACACGATTCGGTTTCGTCTAACGCTTTTCTCTAGATTACACGACTGGAAATAGTTATCATGATTCATGAAAATTTCATTGACCTTTAAGTGGGCAACACTAGATTTTTATTCAAACGGAAGCATTGGTTAAGTATGTTTATTATAAAATTATGTGATCGTTAATCGAGAAAATCAAAGCTGACTGTGACATAACTTATTTTTGGCCGCTTTATTTTGGCCGCTTTTATTATTGTTCGAGTTATGTGTATAAAATTATGTGTTGTTAATATAAAATTATGTCATTAATCGAGAAAATCGAAGCTGACTGAGACTTGACTTATTTGGCCGCTTTACAGACGCTGTACTCGCGTGTGGCTCGAGTCTGCCGCCACGACAAAGGCGGGCCCCACAAGTTCAAGAACAAGTGGACGTCGTACCTCAAGTCTCGCCTCAACTGCTCTGTTTCAGGAGACTTCCCATTCTACTTCAACGAAATACGTGAGTTGCTTTTCAGCTCGCCCTCCGCTGTAATGTACCTCGAGTAAATAATTTGTGACCATGGAATACGTTAATGCTCGCTCATTGTGGTCACATTATCGGGTATTTTATTAGCCATCGAGTCAATTCTTTGGCATCACTGTTCCGAACTACTACTGCTATAACTACTCTGGCCTAGCGTGCAATTATATGGTATAATTGAATATAATTCACGAAACCACGTTAGAGAAATGATCGTCCAACAAATTCATCTGGATGAGCTATTACATCGCAAAGAATTTATGTTCAATGAAAGTTTTTCCAGCTGTTTTTCTGAAACAATTAGTATGTACCTGCTAGTAATGAACGCATTATTTTTGAAACAATTTGTATGTTCCTCCTAGAAATTACCGCATTATTCTTTATGCAGAATCAACAACAGAACCAATAGAAGGTCGGTACGGTGACCACGCCACGACGCTGCTCTACGGCGTCTTCACCACGCCAGAGAACTCCATTCCAGGCTCGGCCATATGCGCCTTCACGTTCCAGGACATCATGGACACGTTCGAAGGCCCCTTCAAGGGGCAGTCTACCGTCAACGCCAACTGGCTGCCTGTACAAACTACTCAGGTGCCGTTGAATACTGTGCTAATTATGTTAAATACTGTGCTAATGGTGTTAAACACTGTGCTAGTGGCGTTAAATACTGCTACTGGCGTTGAATACTGTGCTACTGGCGTTGAACACTGTGCTGCTGGCGTTAAATACTGTGCTACTGGCGTTAAATACTGAGCAACTGGCTTTGCAATGAAACATGGCTCCATTGCGTGTCGTGTTAATCAAGGAAATGGACCCTCCGGTTGTCAACGAAATGTAATTGACAATAGACTTGTAGCAGTGACAAATGCAGAGATTATTTTATCAGTTTACAGCAATTTTAGCCAACGGCAAACGTCGCCTGATAATTTTTTTTCTGATGGAACTTTGTTTACTTGTCATATTTGCTTGCTCAAATCGCCAATTAACATTGAATTTAAATTAAAAACATAACATGTAAATTCACCGCATTATGTTTTTGGCATTTAATCGTTGGTTGATTAATTTTATTACATGAAACCGGATGATATTATTAGTTCCTAGGCAACACGCTCACACTTATTGTTCGGGAACTTTCCGACTAATAATGTCTAACAATTTGATATCTGGTGAACACTAATAAGTTTTCAATTTCAGAATAATAATGTGTAACAATTTGATATTTGGGGAACACTTAATAAGTTTTTAATTTCAGAATAATAATGTGTAACAATTTGATATTTGGGGAACACTAATAAGTTTTTAATTGCGTGCAGGTGCCGGAACCCCGTCCTGGACAGTGCGTTAAAGACTCCTCGACTCTGCCGGACGTGACGCTGAACTTCATCAAGTCGCACTCGATGATGGACGAGGCTGTGCCTGCCTTCTTCGGCCAGCCTGTGCTTATACGCACCGCTACACAGTGAGTGAGAGTGTCCTTAGCATCCTTAGTATTTGTTTTGGACGTAGCAGTCCCAGGCCACGATGGATCGCTGCCTCTGATTATCGTTTTTGTTGTTGTAATTGCCCATCCTGGTAGTGGCGACTAGGGAGAGGGGGTGATCGGCCAGTTTTTCCGGGCACTCGGTACCACTGGTAGTTCTACGACCATCACTGGCTCGCTGACCCGCCAGAACCATTTGATTGCATTACACAACACCCTGGACAAGCCAGGTACTCATTTATCAACCAAAGTTGGATGAATGGCTGAGTTGACCATGAGCTGAGCTTCCCGGTAGAACTTGTCCTCAGTGGGACTCGAACCCGGGAGCTGGGTGCGAGAGACAGAGTCTCTCACCACTGCACTATCGTTCATCCGCCCTCATTTGGGCCACCTGATGCACGATGCTGTTGCTTGCTTCTCGCCGCTGGTAGTGTTGCAGGGGAGGTCGATCTGGGATTGTGCCTAGGAACACGTCCAGTTGTCTCTTGAAGGTCTCCAGGGTGAACTCCCCCTCTCTTAGATCCTTTGGTAGGATGTTTAACAGCCTCGGTTCTGTCATTCATGTTCTTAGGGGAGTATGAGTTAATGCAGCCGTATTCATTACTATCCACCTAGGAATTTATTAGATTTTCTTCTCGAATTAGTTTTCTATCCAAATATTCATGTGACGGCAAATTTTAGCGAAGAAATTTTAAATGATATCTTTATATGTGTTTAGAATATTTTACGTCCATAATGCGTGTGTCATGAGAAATAGTGGCGGTAATGGCATTCCTGTATATGATGTCATGTACCGAAATGCATCGTAAAATGACGACAACTTTTTCGTCTCAGCTACAGCGGCCGCTTCAGCGCCATCGCTGTTGACCCGCAGGTTCACACCCACGACGGGAAAAGCTACGACGTCCTCTACATTGGCACTGGTAATTTGTCTTGCCTGTGGCTTTCTTAATGTTGCATGTATTGTGGTGAATGTCCCTGATGTGTTTCTGTACAATATCGTTTCCTTTTCACGCTGTCATCGTTTTCACGGAATCTTTGAAGCAGCTCCTTGTGTCGATTGGAGTGTTCAAATCATTGTCTGAGCGTTCAAAACTTCAAATCAATTTCATGTGCCCTTCTGATAAGAAATTAGGGATTAATAATTGATTTTCTACGCGTAAACTGTATTTAAATTTCAATAGGGAATAATAATTAATTTTCTACGCGTAAACTGTATTTATATTTCAACTTACGTTGCAGAGGATGGCAAGGTGATCAAAGCAGTTAACACGAAGTCTGCGGACTCCTTCCAAGAAGTCGAGCCTTTCATCATCGAAGAAATTTCAGTGTTTGAGCCGAGCACTCCCATCAACTCTCTGCACATCGTGCGTTCTTCACAGCGCCACCCGCGGCTAGTTGTGGGCTCCAGCGATCGCATTTACTCCATCCCTCTTGTGCGATGCTACACCGACAAGATCATGTCATGCAGGTCATTTCATTATATTATTTCAAATGTTGATACATAAATTATTTTGTGTCATTATATTATTTTAATGGCTAATACATTAATTATTTTGTGTGTTAACTAATTCGACAAAATTTGATTTTTGACCATCATTTTGACAATTATTATTTTATATTTATATTTTGACCATTATTTTGATATATTATTATATATGACCATTATTCGACAAGATCATGTCATGCAGGTCATTTTATTATGTTATTTTAAGGGCTAATACATTAGTTATTTTGCATGTTATGTTCATGTAATGTCATTCAGATCAAAGTTATTGTCGGATGAATTATTCAATAAGGGTTTATTTTCAAGTAAAAATTCTCTAGCTCTACGCCAGAATTATCAATTTAAATTTCATCGCTGCATGGGTTCATTAGCGGAATAAATTCTGTTAAAAAATGAAAACTCACATAACCGTAATCTTTAATATTTTTACTTTTATTTCTGTGTTCAAAGCAGCACATTTAAAAGGAATGTTTCGTTGCCTGAATGTTCAACACTTTCGATCAGTGAATTGAAGAAAGCAAATAACGATCAAATCGGATTTCAACTTTCAATTGTAGAGTTGAATTAAATCAATAATAATCTTCAAATAATAAAAAAATTTTCACGCCTTTTGCTTTAGACTAAAAGGTTTCAATTCAGTTTCAACCACTATTTTGTTTAGAAAAAGGTTCTAATGCATTTTCAATTAATATTCTTTTCTAAAAAACGCCCTTTCATTTGATATCTTAAAAAAAATATGTTTTAATGCAATTTAAATTAATATTTATTCCTAATTATACGTATGAACGTGCAGTGAGTGCGTGGCGCTACAGGACCCATACTGTGCATGGGACAAATTCAACAGCAAGTGTCGTGTAGTGACACAAGGCAAGGAGCTCATCCAGAGCATCGGTACGGGCGTACACCGAGACTGCGGCAAGGAGAAGCTGCCGTCGCACTCTGCCTCCATCAACAGAGACTCTAGCGTCTCTGCCAGCAGCAACAGCGTCACCAACACGCAGCATCCAGCGCATGATGAACCTCATGATGGTTGGTTGTGGTAGTGTCTTTGGTTGTGGTGCAATGGTTTTAGTAGAGGGAGAATTAGTATATGCAGCTGTTGTCTAATGATTTTGGTACAGCGAGAATTAGGATCTGGAGCTGTGGTGTAATGATTTTGGTACAGCGAGAATTAGGATCTGTAGCTGTGGTGTAATGATTTTGGTACAGGGGGAACAAGGATCTATAGCTGTGGTGTAATGATTTTGGTACAGGCAAAATTGAAAATATAATTGTTGTACCTCTTATGAATGGAAATAATTTATCTTGAATCGTTTTAGGCGCATTGCCGTTTGTTTCCTTTTAAAGAATTCATTGACGTTATTTACACTGCAATTGTCCCCTGCAAGCCACTCTTACTGTTTCGAAATGTAAGCTAAAAAGCTCGCTTAAACGTCAGAGATCGCAATCTCTTGCAGTAGGTGGAGGCAGCAGCGTCTCCAGCACCAAGTCTGTGCCGCTGCACTTCACCACAGAGACGCTCGCCATCGCCGTGGCGTCTGCGGCCATCGGAGCTCTCATATTGGGTTTCATCACAGGATTTTTCTGCGGTAAAAAATGCAACAAAGAAGAAGACAACCAACTTTACGCAGCCACGGACTACGAGTACTACGACCAGAGACAGACGCCGAATAGGTGGGAACTTTGAGCCCTGTTTCTTTGTTTGATTTATTTATTTTACTACTAGTATAGTGACGGAAAATCAAATTTGTACGTAGAAGTCATTTATTACTTTCATTTTGTGTGAAGACTAGTACTGTTGGAATAGAAAGCTGCCGTAAATTTTACAGTTTATTTGAATCAATATAGTTTTGTTTTGTAGTTCCAATGATAAATTAAGGGATTCCTTTGTTTAATAAGTATTGACAACGATCAATTCTATGTTTTGGCATTCGTTCTTAATTCAAAGATTAAGGTTATTTCGAAATAATTTTTTTTCTAATCTAAACATTTACTTGATTTTTGTTTCGTCTTACCTTTATTAATCGTACATTAACTCAAGCATGTCATGTTAACGCCTTCATTTGTGTGCAGTCGTTTGACAAGTGACATGCAGGAGGAGGTGACATACGCTGAGCCAGTTCTTGTCAACCCTCCCCTCAACAAGAACGTCAACCTGGTGCTCAGTATGTCCCCAAAGGCCCCCATGAAGACGCCCTCTACTCCAGGCCAGCCTCTCCCAAATGTCGGGATGATGGGAGGTCCTCCTGATCAGTCAATGGGCCCTATGCTGGCCCTGCAGCCACAGCCCGGCATGCAGCCAACACTGCAGCAACAACAACAAGGACCTCAAGACATTCCTTTACATTACACTCCTGAGAGCTACTCTACGCACGGCACTCTCAGGACCTCAGAAAAATATGGCACGCGTGGCCGTGACCACAGGAGGGGTGACTATGACCACCGCACTCCTGATGGCTATTCTACGACGCGATCTGTGAAGAAAGTTTATCTGTGAACCAACTCTCCTAAACGCTCTCACTCTCCATTGCACGCTTTCAACGTAGATCCTCGCTGTGGCCTGGTTGCTCCTTTTAACACCAACAATAGTGTTCTAGCTAACCCAGCCTTTGGTTATTATTCCAACATACTAGTGAATAATTTCAATGAACCACAATCCATACCTCCTTGTTCCATATATAGCAACATTCAACCTGTACCTCAACCAGCATCGTGTTATGCTGCTCATCAAATGTACACCAATCAGTCTCCATCTTCAAACGATTCCCATCACACAAATCAATCCGATTCTCTCTCGGACATTGGCTCTGCTGATCGTAATCTCCAGTCTCACACTCCTCAATCTCACACACCCACATCTCATACTCCACAATCTCACACGCCTCAGTCTCACACTCCCCAGTCTCGCACACCTCAGTCGCACACGTCAACTGAACTCTACAGCTCAAGCTCTCCTGTATTCGGATTGCGCAGTACGATGCACAATCCACGTCGGTGCATCACTCCTACGTGTGGTAGCAGCAGCAGCTCTAGACCTTCGATATCTTCCAACACCGCAATTCTATTTCCTCAGCATTACCTTCCCAGTTCTGAATCTAGTCGCAGTGGCCGCAGCCCCAACAAAGTTTCTAAGACAGACGTACAGCAATGCTATCACATTGGTACCTTGCCTCGATCCCTTCATTATTACTCGCACAACAAAGCCAGGAAATACCCTGTGTCTCCTCGCGACGAAGCATCGATCCTTCTTCAGCCTCTACTGCAGTCCAGGCGATGAAAAGATGCGTCACGTTTAGCGACTGTTTTGAAATATCATTCTAATTTACACAAATTTTGATTCATCAAACAAAATTGTCTTATCTTCAATGACTTGTTCTTTGTTGCGACAGCCGTTGTGATTGTACTCGATTCGCAGTCAACGTTGACGATACTTAAACTTTGCACTAAAGGTCGTTGACATTCTTGAACCAAGAGGATTTCATTTTGAATATTTTTTTGCATTTATAAACTCTCATAAAATTATTCAACGCATCTCGTATGTACGTTACAGCTTGACCCAAGTTAGCTGATTCAGAAACAAGTGTGACTCAGGTACACTGCAACCTCATTCGCAAACACAAGAATTATCCAGAAAAATTGAAAGCTGGAAAGCGCTGCTATATGGAGAGTCAGAGTGTTTATTCATACCCTGATCCTGTTTCTCTTAATCCTTATCACTGTGTATGGTATGTCTGTTATGCGTTACCCTTCCTTGCCCTTCCCCACCAGTATTATAAGTGTAAATATTCACGTCTAGAGCAAAGATTGCCACTCCCCACTCTGGTGCCAAGATGCAACTCAAATAGTCCTGAGTGGATACGAATAGTACTGCATTGTACTAACCTACTTATTAATTGCACAAAATTGTCATATTAATGAATCAAAATCGGATATCGCTTCGTGTTTCAGTCATCGGTGAAGATTTTTCCGATGGTTCAGAAATTTTTGGCTACAAGTGCTAGGTACGTAAAACGAGCTGCGCTCGTGTAAAATGTTACTTAATTTAAAATGTTTACCTGTTGTTCTTCCCTCATCAGAAAAAATTCATAAGCACGTCGATAAAATTCACGTTCCAAATGGACAAACGGGCGTTGGCCTTGTATAACGTTCATCTTCTGGACGCCTGATGTTTGGGGTTAGGTCTTGACATGAAAATGTCAAGTGGATCGCCTTCAATAATACGTTTCAGTGTATTGCCAGTGTTGAGATGATGAGACTTTGAATTGAATAAGAATGTTTTTTATTGATAATGAATGGATTGGAGGTGTATGTGTGCTCGGCAGCTCATTGGGCCTTTGCTTTATAGTTCTGTCGTAGTGAACTCGTAGACTTCTAGACCAAGTGCACTCTAGTATAGCGGTGTGGCTTGTGCGGCCTTCTGTCAACGATTAAGTTGAGGTGTGCCAGAACGCTGTTCTCCTAAGAGATCTCTTTCATAAAGCTATATCTGTAATTCATATCGTTTATAGCTCGTCAGTATTATCAAAGGGTAGCTCCTCAATAAGCCAGAATGATAACTCTAAATTTCGGCCACCACTGACATTAACGTAATTCTAGTTTACCGGAAGAAATTTGAAGTAATTTTAAAGAGTTACTTGAGTTGATGATTAATTAATGAATTAATTAAATTTAATTTAACTAATTAAAGAAGGCTGGCAATATTTTTTATGTTTAGTTGGTAATCATTGAAAAAAGGTGAAGGAGCGTTTCGTGATCTCTTTTTCTACAGCCACCGTTGCTGCTGCACTGCGTCGAGTGTAGCCTGTACATAGGTATGTAAATAGCCATTATAGTAATGAGTACTGTAGGTGAGTTAGATAGAATTAGGTTGTCTGAAGCTCTGAAGTTGGGCTCATCCCTAAAGACAAGCTGGCGATGCAGCGCGGTGACCACGTATAAAAAGTTCGTTAGCGCTGAACATGTAACGATTGTTAACGAAATTCGTTAACGATTGTGAGGTGGCGTTTGCTTGGTAACGTCATGTAGTTATCTTACCCGAAGTCATTTGCTCCTTTCATTTTTTTCGCATTGCGCAATAAGTGTTATGAATATCTATTTTTTAGCTGCGCTTATCAAATTACATTCTGCGGTCAGTACTTGCGTTATGAAGCAATGTATGTAAGGCCTATTATCTATTCATGAAGAACAACCTTGTGAAGATTGCTGCTAAATCTTGTAAAAAGTGTCGTGGCAGCTGCCAGTTTGCGAGTGAACGCTTGAATTAACCCGATGTTGGTTCAGCTATGATTGCCTCAGTCTTTGATCTGTAATGATAAGTTTATTTGTAAATAGTGTTGATGTGACGAAACTCTTAAAAGACAATGTGCCATGTATCGCTGAATGGAGTTTGCTGTGACCGCGCGCTCGAGAAGCATCTCAGCAGCATGGTTCGCTCGCTGTCCAAATGACGAACTTAAATTGCATTTCATTTCACGCCATACGTATTGGAATCTTATGCATATTTCAATCATATGCATTCAAATAATTCTTGGTTGCTTTTATAATTTCGTTTATCGTTTTTTGTACTTCCTATCTTGAATCCTTACAAACTCGCCTCGTCAATGAAGAATAATTATTATTTTTAACTCGTCATGTGCACTGCCCTCGTTTAGATACGGTATTGTTTTCAATTTTCTTCAATTCTCCATAACAAAAAAAAATGTTTTAAACAATCAATTATTGTCACTGGCATCTCATTCTTCCAGATTGTAAATTAATTCTTCTAAAATTACTAGGTATTCAGTCGCGGTTCATGTTATGCTTCTGCTCAGATGCGAAGCTCTTGTGTGAATGTGAGGATTGAGTAAGTAATTTGTACTCTTCAAGTGCAAGATCTTGAATGAATTTGGAGTTAATTCAAGCGACAATGTAATGGAAGTGTTGTGAGATTTATTTAATTGTATTAGTTCAAACGGTTATATTTTCTTGCTTGACAAGTTGCTCAATAAATTGTACTCCAATGCTTTTTTGTTGTGAGGTTTAAAGATGTAAAGCGCTTGTTTTTAAGCGATTAAAGGCATATTTATTTTCTCCATTTCTTTGACTTCAAATGTTTCTTGTGAAAATCGTTTGCTCAATAATTTGTTGTCATGTTATTTTGGAAGCAATTTGTTCTATGAGATCTGTAGCTCAGTTGGGTTTCGTTTGGCGCCGCGTCATTTGGTTTTGTTACATTCTAGTCAAAGAACATTCTACGTGAATTTATATTTAGCATTCATTTCTCATTTACTTGCGAAGCTTCTTGTGCTTCATTTGGTGATTCTCAATTTCGCGCTTGACAGTTAAGCAGGAGAGGGAAAGGCTTTGCCCGAGATACACGAGTGATCAAGACAATTGGTTGGTAAAGAAAAACATTGCATGTATTACGTATGCGTCGGAAATTTGTTCATTTTCCTTTGACAAATTATGGCTATTTTCGAGTTGGAGGTCACAGTTGATGGTGATTACTATTTATTTGCAGACTAATATGATTTGAGTTTTAAATAATTGATATAAGCTATCATACAAGTGCAGATCTTAAATTTGTGTCCGTGCGCTCTCTCACTGAGCTGGAGCCACAGCTCTGTACTTACTGTAGATGACTTTGGTGGTGCAATCAACGCCATTATTTGGCGGAGCTTTGCATACACAATTGCATTATAAAACAGAGAAGGAAATGCACTGAACATAGTTGTATCAGATTAGAGCAGAGGGGAAGCGTATAGTTGGTTTGCTAGTCTCTTATTGTACATAGCGAGGCGGGCTGACACATGACGAGAAAAGGTTCTCTGCCTTGACGTTTAAGTGTGTGGAGCGTTAGTAATGTGTGTGCCCATTAAATGTGTGAGTGCCCATAGTCGCCACCTCCAGTAGGGATATGTGTATAGTTATTCCTTGCTCTGTGAACCTTCGGTGATATTCGTTCTCTCATCTTCCTGACTTTCAATGGCATCCTTACATCCTCGATCGCTTCTGTGCAGAGAGCTTCTTTATCGCGATGTGTCAGCCGCGCAGCAATTCTTACGGCTCCGTTGCCATAATTAAAATAATAATACTGATAAGCTTATGATAAACGGAGAATGTCTCCTAATGGAACTATACCCGTACGATAGTTTTCAAATAGGTAATTGATAGACGTAGTGATGATACTTCATGCCATGGGAGTTTGTCGTCGGCTAGCAAATGTAAAAACTTCTTTTTATTGTAAAGAAGAATGAGACTTTGTTGCTTATAGTCAAAGTCACAATACAAATATTGGAAAATGTTGCTAATCTCAATAAGGCTCATAGTATCTGTAGGTCATTTATTTTTTCCTATTATAGACTATGTACTGATATTGTAGATGGAAACGTAGCTCACTTTTTAAACGATACTGCGGGCAAAGAGACGCCTGAAGACGGGTGTCTTTTACGCGATTTGGAGCACATCTCTTCTAGACTTCATCATCCATCATCTCGGGCAAACCTTGTGCGATGCTATTTAATCATCTATCATCTGAAGCAAACCTTGTGCGATGCAATCATCTATCATCTCAAGCAAACCTTGTGCGATGCAATCATCTATCATCTGAAGCAAACCTTGTGCGATGCTATTTAATCATCTATCATCTGAAGCAAACCTTGTGCGATGCTATCTAATCATCCATCATCTCAGGCAAACCTTGTGCGATGCTATTTAATCATCTATCATCTGAAGCAAACCTTGTGCGAATATAGTCCCTGGTTTGCAGCGCCGTGCGACCTCAGCGCTGGTAAACTCTGCCGTATATCATCTAATATCACGTCGATTCATATACTCAATAACTCTGCTTAGATCTGACATCGATTAAACTTTATTTCTCGTATTACTATTGTATTACGTTTTATTTATCGACTACAAATGTGCGTTTTGTTAAGAATGTGCTTTTACGTAATGTATTAATTTGCGTTTGAGCTGCCGTATGTTGACGTGCAGGCAATTCGCACCCATGCGAACATTGTTATAATAATACGTGCATTATCGGAAATTGGTTTCCATCCCCTATTCTTCTCGAAAATATCTACATTCGTTTTAGGGTGAAATATTCCGTTTCATTTTGTAAAGGGAATTAAGCCTTCGCCGAGGAAATTCAAGTGCTGACCGACGCAAGGCACCAAACTACGTAATATATATACTGATGGATTAGTTCATTTATAGTTTTATTCAGTAACCGCACCAGCATGCGAATGCATTGATGAACGTCGAAAAATGTATTTTGCCTTAAATGGGAGAAGATAGCACATTTTATAGCTCAAATTTGAATCGATTTTCCTATTTAACGGAAATACGGATAATTTCCTTATGTTGAAGTAAAATAAAATGTAAAAAATGAACAGGAGAGAGATCCTTGTAATTTCGAGTCATTTCAACATATTTCATCGGATTGAAACTATACACAATTTAATTCATTACATTTAATTACGATTTATTGAATGGTGCGTTGAAGACACAGTTTAGGTGCTCTGCTATAATAGTGACTGCCAATGATTGTGTTGATCGATTTAGTGCATAGATTATAGTATATGGCTGAACAAATGATTGGCGCGCAGTTGCCGTTGAAATGCTCCAACGTTCAGAATTTGTCGACATCTACTGTGGCTCGTAGGTTCATCACCTTCACCTGATCTACGTAGAGCGCCTGAGCTTTCCTGTTGATGTCATCTTCTAGCGCCACCCTTGTCGCTGCCAGACGCTGCGCGGCCTTCGCTGACGCTCTGACCGCGTCGTGTAGACGCTCGATGCTCTGCTCCAAATCCACCACTTCGCGGTACAGCGCCGTCTCTGCCTCGTCTCTGTCGCACCGCGAAAAATAATTGTTGAAATATCAGTAACTACAGATATAATGAATTTATACTCTGTCGCACCGCGAAAAATAATTGTTCGGCATATCACATCAATCACTACAGAGTTGACGAATCGCACCGTGAAAAATATTGGTCGTTCTGAATATCAGTCACTACAGATATGATGAATTTGTATTTCACCGTAGCGAGACAAAGTGAAAATAGGCAGTGAAAAATCTTCAATGTTTCTAATAATTGTCAAAGGTGGTGAAATCAATTCCCTCGAAAGATAGGTCATGCCTGAACCAATTTGTGATTTTTAACTTCAGTTGTTTGCATTATTTTTAGTCGCGAGTAACTGAAGAATTGATAGCATTGATTCATAGTTTTACTATGTAGTATTATACTTTTTTTTGCTTTGTAGTTTTCTTTATTGACAGTGACGAAATTTAAACGACTGACAATTATTTTAATTCTTAAATTGAATTCGTAGTTTCATGAAACATTTTATTCAGCATCGTTTTAGTAATGGAGTAAAAGTTCCATCTTAGCGTCACCACATCCCACATCAAAGTAACCGCACCGTAACCTCGAGTTTTCAGTAAGCTATTCCTAATTGTTAGTGTCCCAAAAATACATTAAAAGACTTCTGCGGTTACCTGACTTGCTCCAGTCTTGGTTTTGCCGACCGAATCCGCAAGCTTGTGAGGGCCTGAGCGAATGATGGGCGTTTGGCCGAGAGTTCAGCCTGAAGAGCAGCTTGACTTCTCTCCATAGACTGCTCTTCCTCTACGACCTGACAGCAAACAAAGTAAGGGTACGCACACAGTGAAAGCAGGTTGCCAGCGTGCTGGTTACCTGCTCAGGCTGGCGCCTGAAACCATAGAATACAGAAGCCTATTCGTACAGGTTTTCACTGTGAACACTTACATTATTATCCTATGTTCATTCTTGTGGCAGGTTGAAACCATAGCATACAGAAGCCTATTCGTACAGGTTTTCACTGTGAACACTTACATTATTATCCTATGTTCATTCTTGTGGCAGGTTGGTGCAGGTTGCCCGCGCGGGCAAACCTGCTTCCACTGTGTGCGTACCCTAAGAGAAAGCTCGATCCCACAGACTATGATTGATGAGAAAAAGCTTAAAAAACTTTACATGTTCAATTGGACATTGTAGAAAGATCAGGAAATAGGAATTGATTGTGAACACCATTTCGTTATGACACAAGCGACGAATCACGGAGAACCACATGCATTGAGCGAGAATAACGCAGTTGGCAATAAGTAGCATACGTACTTCAATCAATTAAACTGAGGCGTCAACTCGACCATTGTTTTCTGAATTTCATGACAGAAATTTTCGAATAATAAATTCGTTAAATGATTCATGAATAAAATTCATTCAAAATGTCTTATTCTGTGCTACAAATAATAACCGTAGATCTACTAGCATTTATACTGTTACCCAAATGTTGGGCAAGATAATTCTTCTCATCCCTAACAAAATTTAGAGCCGCCCCAGCTTCTGGTAATCCAAATCAGAAGCTGCCGCGTCTGTAAACACAGATGTAAGCCACTCAAAGAAAGCAGGTTCTCATTAAGCAGGTTCTTATCACACAAGCATCAAAGATGCAAGCCACTTGAAGAAAAATAAAAATACATCGTTCATATTTACGCAGCTTGCACGTCCGGCGGACAACACTTTTGGACCTTTTTTGCAACTAAATAACGTTTTATTGATATTGAATTCATTCAAAACATTCAAGAAGCTTCACTGCAGATAGTTGAGAATCTTGATTGCTTACACTTATTTTCTGAAATGTCAATTCTTAAATGTTGATTGAAACCTGTTAAGAAGTACACTATGAAACATAAAAATCAAATTTACGGATTAAAACGAAAAACATTTAAGATGTTGAAATTATCCCATCAACAGGGCAGTCTATTGACCGATATCTTTCCAACAAAAACACAAAAATTAAATGTTTAAATTGAAACTACTTCTTTGGAAAACAATGATTGCTAGAAATGTATTATTTTTCCAGAAATAATGTCAATATTCTCAATTTAATTTCATATTCAAAATCCCAACTAAGAAAACTTGAGCGTTTTTGTTTAATGTTTCATGAATTCATGGATTGCTGGCATATATATGCAAAATGATATCTTCCGTATGAGCGTCAAATTTAGACATTTCACATTATTTTTTAATACAACTTCGGAAAATACTTTTATTTATAACTTATTGAAGATTCCGGATGATACTTTTCAACTGTCCTGCATATCACGTACTGGCTAGAAGAACTTTTTTTTTGCATGTTTTGATGCATTTATTATTTATAATTATCTCCTATCAAATGCAACTTAATTTACTTCCAATTGATTCAGTTATTATATAATTATTTATTAGCTAAAATTGTAAATTATTTATTTGCTGTGATAACTGAAATGCATTTAAATATATATTTCAGTGCTCCTAATTAAACAAAACATAACGTTCATATGACAAATATTATATGTTGCCTCCCAAATTATATGTAACACATTTTCTTGCGGTTTAAATCCTTAAATTTAAAAGTATTTATATCCAAATTTGAAACGATAAACACACCTTATGGGAGCGCAGGTGTTGCTGCTCAGCCTTCTCCACCAATGCACGACAACGCTCCTCCCATTCTGCGACACTCAAAGCACTGCAATAAAATCGAACATTTTAGTTCTAAGTAAGTAATTCAGATGATTGGTCTTGCCCTAACAACGCTACAGAGAGAGCAAGGCCGTGATTACGCTATCGGAAGTGAAACAAAATCGCTCTTAAGTTACGAGGTAACACAGACCAACAGACTCCATGCACTGACTCAGTAAAGCGACGGAGAAAAATAACTAAAAATATTTATTTCGCGCCCTCACTGTAAAGTCGAGATTTAAGTTCTTAAAGCAAAGTAGTTGGCAAGATGACTTTGCAGCTATGCTGAACTATTTTTGATAATGAGATGTAATGTCGTATGTAATGTCAATGGTAATACCATAAGTAATGTCAGATGTAATGTCGTATGTAAAAAAAACTCAAGTTTTAACAAGTGACAATTGCTAACCAAGTTTGACTTAAAAATTTAGTAGCGTTAATCTAAGGCTAGAACTAATATTTTTAAGAAGTATTTTTCTTTTCTTAAGATTAAAATTTTCGATTTAGTTTTTTGACCACATCTTGATAAAAGGAAAACAACAGTCAAGATATGCATTTTTGTACAGAAGAGATCCTGCAGCTTTGAAGCTGACTAGTTTATACGATAACCATTGTGGCTCGACACGCTTCCATGAATAAAATAAAGTTTGATCGGATAATAACTCATGACGAACCTGGCAGAGATGACCTCGACGGGTAGGATATTTGAATGATTTTCCGAAGGCAACAAGTCAGCCACCACTGAATCGACATGCAACGCTGAACTCTTGTTTGCAAAGTCCTTCTTTAACTGATATGTCGCAGCCCTGTTACGACGTGCCTTGAAAATTAAAAAAGTCACGTAATGTAAATTCTTCCACCTGAATGGGATTTATAAATAATTTATTAATTCAAATGGTAAATGAAAATAGTCATGCAAACGGGAAGTACACATATTATTCCACGAATTTCTATCGACGAGGAAAAATTGTCGAAAGGATATTGCTTAGATCTCGTGTCCTGTTCAAAATTGTTACTCAGGTGAATGACTGTAACGTATGAAGACATGGGCTTTATTAAAAGAATAATCGAAGAGTTATTTAGTACATTTAAAGCACAGGCATTCAAATTTGAACTCGAAATTTATCGTTATCACAAACTGTCACAAGATCGGCTCCGCAATTATATTCGCCTCAAGTACCTGGTTGAGAGTTTCGTCGAGAGCCTTGGCCAGCGACGCTCGACATCGCGTCAGTTCGCGTACCTCGTCGAGCAAAGCGAACTGCGGTTCGTCTTCCACGACTTCGCTGGACCCACGTTCCGATCTTAAGAGGAGTCAACCACTACATGTTCACAGTTACACAATTAACCGAGTCATTAATAATTATAGTTCAAACGAGGGTGCAATGATATAGAAAAATAAAGCAGTTGAATCCATAAGATTGAACTAATGGACACAAAATAAGGGCGCAGTAGAGTCGAAATGTGGCGGGCAATGGGATTAAATTAAAGGAGAATTCAAATTGGAAGAAAGAGAGCAATAGTATGAAATAAAAAGAGCGAAAAGTTCAATGCGTGATATGAACAAGGCCCATGGAGCCGAGATGAAAATTTTCAGCAGCAGCTGCAGTAGGGTGGTTTGATACGGAATCAAAATTAATAGAAGAATACGGGCTAAATACTCGGGAAATAACCGAAGAATATTATGTTTATTAACGACAGGTTGTGGTTCTTCTTTGCGAATGAAATCAATATTTTGATGAAAGGTCTAAATTATATGGGTCTTTACACTTTTTAGTATGTATTTTACACGACCTACAGAAGCACAGTTGTTCGCAGCAGCAAGCTAAGCCACAACTAAGCAGGTAAATCAACCACACGACCTTGCCAATCGAATTTTGCATTCAAGGCCACAGTGAATGGCTAAGATATTGTTTAATGGTCAACATTTTATGACCTGAGTTTGTCGACGTATTTTAAAGTTTACAGAACTTTTCTGAACTTATCGCGTGAAAGTTTAGGACTTAAGCTCGCAGAAAATTGCACTGCTAGTAGAAATGTAACGTAATAAGGCGACACAATTTAATTTCGAGCAGTAAGCAAATGTCCATCGGTCATATGATAAAAACTCCTAGTCATTTCATCTAATCACAGAGACTTTATCTGTATAAATTCAAGGTTTAAAGACAAACTAATTAACTGACCTCAGTTTAAGACACTCTTGTGCCACTTGGAGCGGATGAAAATACAAATCGTGTTGCTTTTGAAGTCTTGCAGCCATCGTGTCCAAGTTGCCCGATTCGACAGTCAAGAAGTCAATTCTCAAGTCCACTTCTGATCTCCAATACTTGACCTGTGAGCGACGCTTCTCCAGTAGAGCCTCCACGAATTTCTTGTGAGATTCTGCGCGCTGCTTAGCGTCACCACAGACCAGCCTGATGACGCAATGATTCAATTTGACATTTTCTTTTGGTTACAACATTTAATGGAAATGATAGAATGGTAATTATTTATTTATGTTTATTCTTAGATTATCGTTTGGTACGTTATTCACTTGAGTTTATTCAAAATAAGCATTTTCATTTTTTAGTTTTAGTTACTTACAAAAATTTGAAATAAAAAATATACAATGGTCATGTTATAATGGATGATATTTTTATTTCTACAAGATATTGATAAAAAGTGAAGGAATCACTGAAGTAAGCTCAGTTTTTCAAATTTCGTTCGGCAAAGGTTCCCGGTAAAATAGAAGCGATCAATCAAACACTTACTGGTTTTCAAGCTCGACACTTTTTGACGAAGAGATGACGGTTTTAGCGGACCCAATTTTGGAACGATATTCTTGGGTCCAGTGAAGCGGTGACAGCGCCTTAGTGGACATCGGACGGTGGCCAAAGAAATGGCCGCTTGGGGCCATTCCGGCAGTTTTTGGCCGTTGCCTTTGCGGCGGCCCTGCCATATGGTAATTTTTTATAAGATCGTGCTCGCCGGAGTCATTGTTAAGCGGCATCTTGAGTTGAATCAGTCGAGGGAAAACGTCCAAAAATAAGAAATGTAGACCTAGAATGAAAGAAAGACAAGGCAGGTTTTTATGACAGAAGTAGAAGAACGTGATTTCTTTCCAACTTGGGCACACAGACATTGAAACTGGAAATCTTTATCAGCTTGGAACTGATTGCAGTTAGTTTTAAAAAATGAAAAAGACTCGTTAGCTTACAGAAGAAAAAATTGATGTTGTCCGAGTAAGAAACGATAAAATGGACAATTTAGATAAAAATTATTGTCCAGACAGTATAAACTTTTTATTACGAGTTATATAACAGAATGCTTCAGTTAATTGCATGTTTCCTGGATCGTAATTGGAAAGAAATGGGAAAAGAACGTTATCGCAAGGAGGTCAATGAATATATGTAACTTGATTTCAAACTTAGTTTTCAGAACGTGGGAAGATCTTGTCGAGGTTTATAATTCCTTTTACGGCGATGGATATCGTGTCTCTAGAACAAGTTTACAATGACAGATTTAAAATAAGGTCTACGTGTAACTCTGACCAGCCAATTTATTACGTAATTTTACGTATGGACCAGCCAATTTATTGCTTGACTGTCGCTTTAAAACAGCCATATAGGAAAAATCTAAAATAATCAAAGAAATGGTATAACACAATTTAAACGTCCAGTTTAGTCAAGAAGTAGGTAGATGAGTAGCCCTGGCCTAGAAAATGGCCGGAATAAAAGGCCTGAAGAGTATCTGTCGACGTCGAAAGTAGGCTAAGCGTAGGGACGCGTAACCATGGCAACGCACGGTACTGTGTAACATCAGTTAGTGCTTCTGTTGGGATGACTTTGCTTTGATGATATCTCTTAATATATATCTCTTTTATATATGTTATATAATTACTACTATTTTAATTATTATTGTCATTATTACCATCATTAATATTATTATTTTTGATGAAACTTTTTTTATAATAATATAATATATTATTATATTATATATCTTTTATCTCTGTGGATATCTCATATATATTTTAGGAGGCAAAGGTGTTAAAAAATTCTCATTCAAGAAGCATAGAAAATTGTTATTTGTTTGGATGCATGCTTTTATATATTCGAGTATGAGGAATAATGTTATAAGTTTAATATTATAAGAAAATCTAATTGTAGAGTTTTGTGTTTCTATTTATTCCTGAGGACTTTAAACAAAATTCTATGTAGAAGTCACTAACAAAGTATGAACTACTCAAGCACCAGCATTATTAGTGCATTCTCATCCTTTCCGTTTACAATTTAAATCAGAAAATGATCATTTAAACGAAATAAAGCATTATTGATTCGTCACTGATATTAAATAAAAAAGACGTCGATATTGCCGATTCTGATACAATTTTCATGACTTTTTTACTAACTAACTTTTTTTACTAACGACGCAGTCACGTGTGAATGTCCGGACAAGAGAAAGATTTGAGATTATTTATATTTGTTATATTTTTAGCAGGTTTTCCCGAGTTCTTGCCGTCTCTCGTTCAATGCCAACAATTTTTTTGCACGGGTGTAAAAATATGAAATAAATAAAACGTTGTCATTGTTTCAAACTAAAAAACACGGAATAGATTGAAGGTTTGATGAACACAATTAAGCATAAGACTTGTGTTACGATAAATGAATTCATCCAATAAGAAAATAATTGATTACATTTCTATCTCTTATTGAAGAAGTTCTATCTCCTCTGAATTATTAATTTCCAATCAAAACTTCAGAGGCATAATATTCGCTTCTTAACCTGTATTAATATCAAATAAAAAATATTTTGATAACACGACTTAATCAAAATTTAATTAAGGGCCATACTAGTATAGCTTAGCCTTCACAACATTGTAAATGAAATGCAATAATATATATTTATTGAAACTCTGTGACAGTGTAAGCAATGAATTAATAATGTATACCGCGCTTTCTGTTAAACTGGTTGCCTTGACAACAGCTGTTTTCGTTGCCATGGCAAATAATGACGCTTCTTTGCACTCCGTCGCAGGACGCGTGTGAAGCTGGTTAACGTGGTTGAATCGCGAAGCTGGTTAACGTGGTTGAATCGCAAAGCTGGTTAACGTGGTTGAATCGCGAAGGTGGTTAACGTGGTTGAATCGCGAAGGTTGTTAACTTGGTTGAGTCGCGACGCTGGTTACCGTGGTTGAATAGCGAAGCTGGTAAACGTGGTTGAATCGCGATGTTGGTCACCGTGGTTGAATCGTGAAGCTGGTTAACGTGGGTGAATCGTGAAGCTGGTCACCGTGGTTGAATCGCAAAGCTGCTTAACGTGGTTGATTCGTATAGCTCGTCTTCATGGTTGAGTCTTATAGATTTTAACTGTGGCCGAGTCATAAAGCAAGTGACCGTATAATCAAGTCGTGTAGCGAGTGGCCGCGGTTGATTCGTTCAGCTTATAACCCTATAGTTGATACGCTCTGTTAATGGTCGTGAATGATTCGTATTGCCGGTAGATTAGATTATTTGTTTAGCTTGTAGTCGTGGTCAATTCGTACCGCTGGATCCGCGGTAGATTCGTCCTGCTGGTCGTCGTAGTCTTATGTTATTGAGTTGGTGATTGACAGTTAGTTTAGTATAGTGGTGGTTGTACCGTATATATATGTGATGACATATATGTCAGTCATTCTTGACTGAAGTTAAACAAATGGCTAGTACCCGCAGTAGATACCTGTTAGGAAGTAGTCAATCCGAACACGTACACATTCGTATAATGAAAAAAACTCTACTGATGTTCGCTATCATCATAAAAGCTCTACTGATGTTCGCCATGATGCATTTAGAATTGATATAATTTATGTTTGAATTTTCAACTGCCGTGATTCAATTCCGAAGAAGTAAACAAACCAGCTCTAGTTATTTACTGGCAGCACGCATGTAGATGTCCCTTTCTTTGCCACAATAAAGACCATCATTCTCTCCTTACCATTTTTTACGCCCACAGCTAACGATGTTGTGTGACGACCGAGCTCCAGTCAGAGTCAGTAGCGCGCGACTCGCAAGAAGCTCCGCGATCAAGACAAAAACATCAGCCCGACCGCGTCCATTTTCCGCGCCGACACCCAAAAGTGACGAGGCGCATGCCAGCGACAGCGCTCGGCAGGCTGTCGAACTGCAGTTTCTGGCACTCAGGATTGATGGCCAGTCGGTGAGTAGCGACGGCACAAAAACGAGTCATTGTATGCAGCGGCACTGAAGAATATTCGGTAGAGTCAATAGCAAGGAAACATACTTCAATAAACAGTTGAGAACGGGCCAAGATTTTTATCTGTTGGGAATTTTTACAATTGGAAAGTGATTAATTAGATTGCAAACCGGAGACGATTGCTCAGTTTGTCTGTTCAAAGATGAGCCAACGCATAGACATTAGCGAAGATTTGTTTCGAAAAATAACGGATCACGCTTTCTCAAAATTTGATTGAAACATTTGCAGATGACTCAATATTAAGATCCTGATGTTAACTAAAAAATGATAATAATGATAATCTCAACTGAAACTTTGTACGTTGGTGTGAAAGCTGTGATGTCTTAAGTGAATTATAAATATTTCAGTATTGCGAATGATTACTATACGCTAAGGAACGGTGTGGTTACATAACAACGCTAAACGACGTATTACACCAGAGTAACGATGTAAATTTAACCAAGATTTTGTGTCTAATTATCATTTGTTTTGCTCCAGGTAAGACGTCAGAATATGAACGCTCGTGTGCTGGGCTGTAAACTCCTTCACAATCCACGGGTTGGGCGAGGACTGCCGGCCAATCGATTCAGAGTTGCTAACTGCAGAGCCAGGAGAATCCAGGTTTGTACTTTACTAAATAATTGACTGAAGTATCTGATTATTGTTGCAGAATTTTTAAGCAGCAAGAAGGAGCATTAATTTTCATGTTATCGATATTTAAATTGGCCGGTACTGTCGACTAGCCAGTCAGCCTATAAAAATAATGTTAATTGCGTTGGGTTATGCTGATGTCCAATATTACAGAATAGGTTGCACAAATTGCGCTTTTCCCAATTTCTCGTTTTCGAGCTTCTCAGAGCAGATTTTGAGATCGAAGTTCGATAATGTTAATCAAGATATTTTCTTTTGCTCGAATTCGGAGGTTTCTAATTAACCCGGGCCATACGATGTCTGCGAAAATGAAGGCGATTTTGTTTTGGCTTATTCCTTGATATTACTCACAATTCATCACTCGACCCTTCTCAATTTCATACATTGAGAACACCAAAAGCAAGATTCAAAATCCTTTCCCTTTTTGAAAGTATATTTTGTTTGTTTCCAAAATGAAGTTATCGTGCAAAAGTACTCTGATAAAAAATAGAATGTTGCGAAGAAAGGCTACACCAGAAATCAAGCTGCAGGCTCGACGCGCCGATGTTTTCAATTTTTCTGGGACAAGTTCAGAAGATTTTACTTAGCTGTTGATAACATATTCGGATCCTGCCGTGTTAGCTAAAAATTTTATGCCATCCTCCAGATAACATCGCGGCCCTTTCGAGCCATGGAAGCAGTAGATTTCTCTTATGAAAACACCGCGGATGTACATCGATGCAACAGATCGATGCTGAATTCGAGAAATTCAGTTCATGTTGTGCAAAATTCCCCATTGTGTGACAAAATAAAGGCTGAAAACCTAAAAGATAACGATCAGAAATATTCACTAGATATTTATGCAAGTAAAGATCCAAAAAGCCGCAAGGACGATGACAGCAAAATTATCAATGACGGTAATAACATGGAAGCCCTCATTAAGGGATGCCGCAATGCCAGCGAAAAATTGTGTGGAGCTTCGTTCAGAGAAATAGAGTCTCAATCGAACGATGGGTCGGATGTGTCTCAATTAAGTCTAGGAGGTAAAATACAGCTCATCGCTTTACACCAGAGACGGGATCCCGACGGAGAGGTTTTCTTGGACGACGACTTTGACTCACGAGAATCAAAGCCTGAGTGCCGTAACCTCAAAGAAGCTCGTCATTTAGACGAGCAAACTTGCATCAGCAACGAAGAAAGGGATGCGACTGACAGCGAAGTTAGTGAGGAAGTTCCGAAGATAATTGCATCAGAAAAAACTAACTTCCAGTTCAGAAATGAAGAATGGAAACATCTCTTACAGCGCAACAATGAGCTACTCTCAAAACTTTCAGGATCAGACTTTCCGTTTCTACTGAGAGAAAACGAGTTACAATTTCGCACCGCCCAAAACAACGAGTGCAAAGTGGCAAGCGGCAGTGACGTGTCTCTTTCGTTTGTAAACTACAACGTGGAAGAGAGCGCTTCTCAGAGCTGGGAAAATATTTATTCCACAGAAAATTGTACGACAAGAGGCAACGATACATACTTCGTGCCAACAGGAAAGCCATTAAGACCTTTGACTCCTGTAACGCCAGATTGTATCTTGGAAGACATTAGTGAAGAAACATCTCAAGCTGATTTAGATTCCTTGCCCTCAGACTCAAGAACTATTTTGAAGGAATCGAATTGCGATGCAGAACGAAAACTTCGAGATCAGATGGCCAGCAACAATGCAGCGGTTCTGTGGCAAAAACATTTGAGTTCAACCGATGCTGCAGATAATCGAGACACGAGTGCTACTGAAAGAAGTCTTTTGTGCTCCTCGTTTTCAACAGGAGCGAAGAATTCTTCTGAAAGTTCTCATGATATAGGCAATAACTCGACCCAACGCGATAGTTTGAATTCTATCGAGGGGACATCTGGAAACTTCCCAGATAACAACTCCACAGAAATGAACTCGAAATGCACAAACAAGAGCTTCGAAAGGCGCGACAGTTTTGATACTTGGCGGAGTGAAGTCTGCTCGGAAATAAAAGAAAACGAAAAAATTGACGTTCATGAACAATTAAATAATAGAAAAAATTACAAATCCGGCACTACAGCTATCAATCAAGAGCATAATACTGTTCTCCAGGATATTTTGAAGTCACAAGATGTTACTTCCTTTGAAGCTGATGCAAGTAATGACGAAAATGTTGAGCATCAATCAAAATTACTGGGAGAGAATCATAGTGTCGTAAAATCGCAGATTGAAGCTTCTTCTTCTGTGGAAGTTCTAGGAAAAATCATGACAACTCCAACTCGAAACCAGTTTCTCAGTCAGAAAAATGCCATAGAGAAGCTCGTGTTGGAAAAAGCCCAGAGGCGGAAAGAATTGCAAGAATCTGTTCTAAAGGCATCGTCTGGCACCCAAACAACTTCCTCAGATTCAGGTTCCCTGAAAAACAACGAAACCGAAGATCCTGCTTCGGAAAATGAGTTGACGCATCACAAGAAAAGCGGCCAGCCGTCTTCAAAAACACTGCCGGAATTGTCGGAGGAGCAACAATCCGTGGCTGTTATTTTAGATGCTCTGCTGCGCTCATTTCTCAGCATCAAAACCGCCGACTTGGAGAGCAAAAAAGGTGAGGTTTCATGCCTAGTTCATGCAGTCAACATCGATCACAAATATCACTCGAAGAGAATGAATTCGGCGCAAATTTCAGTCGAAGACCGAAATTAATATCATATATTAGGAATTGAATAACAACTCGTTGCGTCGATCTATTTTAGCTTCTTAATGCAACAAGAAATGTGCAAAAAACGGCAAAATTACGCTGACATGTCAGAAATAGCATAAAGCTCGGTTTCGAAACTCTCTTTTGTAATCCATCATCCACTTGATCTGTAAAATTCGGTGTAATTTTTCACATGGTTGCATTTTCTTGGGATATCGCTCTCCAAATTTTATTTAGACTCCTGGCGATAACAGTTTTTGTCTTGTGTATCGCCGCAAGCGCTGCGTGGAGAAAAAGACAAGCTCCAGGCTCTGCAGCGACAGAGTTTGAGGCTCTGTCTTGAGGCTGGCTGCGTGCCACACTCCGTAGACTGGCCAGAGCTCCACGAAACTTGCCGCCGCGAGAGCAGCAACCTAAGGATCAAAGCTGATTTGTGCCAACAGAAAAATCTTGATCTCATCCGCAAGGCAAGTAATTGAATAAGGGCCACAAAGAAATACAAGCTCCGGCGCCATGTTCGATCTACTATCAGTCGTACTGCGCTCGCTCACCTTCGAACCTTTTAGATTTTTTCTTATCGTCATTCTGCAGTTGTTAAAGATGATCGCGTGTTCATTTGAACTCCAATGATGAAACCAAATGATGATATAAGTTGAAGCAATTATTTAAAGAAAAAACATAATCATTTGCCGTGCGGTTAAAGCTACTGCTCGGAAATTGTTCGAAAAATATAAACTGCGATATTTATACATTTTGAATCATTTGTTTTGGTACCTGAAAATATTTACTTAAACAACTATATTGATGCTCTAACCGCTAATGATTACAAACTTCATTTCAGCTTTTAGACGACAAGAAAACATTGACGGAAGACTATGAAACAGTGAAGAAAGAATTAACTACCAGCTGTGCCAGACACGCTTCTAAGGTATACCTTGCCGACGAATTCGCACAAAGTTCGCCAGTATTTCATATCATTCAGTATTTAATATATCATTACTGTAACTGTAAATGTTGGTAAGTTCATCCCACACTAGGACGATCGAACTGCATACTCATAAAGGGGTTGCATTATGTTTATAGCTGAGGAATTAAGTAACAAATATTAGACCCCTAAGCCTATACAAGCGATGAGGAATTTGACTTAATTTGGAAGATTTAATAAATTTTATAACGAAAAAATTTGATAAAAATTCTCAAAGTTCAAGTATCAAACAAACACTGAAGTCACCAACCGAAAGAAGGGCAGTATTTTACGTAGGACACACGTCAGAGTAGCAGCTGAACAAATATGACTTGCATTAGTTCTCTGATGTCAGATCAAAGTCTTGGAAGATCAGCACAGACGAGAGCTGTTGACTTGCAAACAGAAGATTGTGGCTGCCGAGCAGACCAAGAGGGAAAAGTGGACGCAACATAAAACCAAGCTCATCAAAGTGAGTTACCGTATACAGATGAGTTAAAATATAGCTTATCATCGTAAGCCGTGTCACTGAGATATGTTTGAATGCACAAAATATAGAACTAAGCTTAGCCAAAAGAGCCATATTATTGAGAAATCAATTCTCACAAGTGAATAATATCACCAAGATAACCCTGAAGGTAAAATAAATTCGCAAATGCGAGAAATACTTACTACTGAAATTCCTTTCCACGTCCTTGCATTGGTAAACAAGCTCAAACACAAATTGAACCCTACGCTCGAAAATGGTGTGGCTTGAAGTTCGGTACGCATTATTATTGTGTTTTATTTGATCATAATGCTTTTGGAGTATGCGAAATATATTGCAGTTTCTAAATGGAATGCATTGGTATTTTTTACAGGAATCCAGTTTTCGAGGCCTAGAGACCCGAATAAAAAATCTCTTGTCGACGCACCGAGACGAGATCAGCAAACTCAAGGCGAAGCATTGGCAGGTTAGCATATCTTCAAGATTATCTCAAGTTTACTTAGTGGAATTTAGTTCAACATTGAAAGTTATTGCAGGAGAAAAGAATACATTTAAAAAGGCTGAACCTAGTTTAATAAATTAATTTTAAATTCGTTGATGGTGTTTTATGAACTAATGCTATGAATCACATAAAAAATTCAATGGAAACTAAAATGTCGTTTGTATGGTGTTGCAGTGCTTCTGCTGAGATTTGTAAAATCAATTGTGCAAAATAATATGTACGATGAGTAAATTCATATGTTCGACATATTACCTGGTGGCAAATTTAACTATGAAATTTCAAATTTTATTAATTTTTAGTCGTGTGTTATCGAAGTTAACAATAACAAATTTAATTAAAAACCTTCCAATCATTTTAACATAATTTTGACGTAAACTGGATAAGACAGATAAGGTATCACGTCAGAGTTTGTATACATTTCTTGACGGTTTCTCTCTCGCAACATGTGCTAAACATGCTGCTAGTTAAGACAATACTAATTAATATAAGGCACTCCAAGGACTACTACGACACCTGGAGTAAGCTAGTTTTGCGACTAGTCTTGTATGATAAAGTGAAATCTAGAGCATTAAAGGTCATTTGAAGCATTGTAATCAGACGCAAACACGTTGCAACGATGGAGTACAGAACGAAGTCGCCTTTTCAATGCCTAAATTTATTATTAACCTGAATAGTGAATAATATTCGGGCAGACCGGGCAAATTGCGATAGATAAAATTGAATGATTGATTCAACGAAAGTTAGTTACCCTGTGTTAACTTCGAGTTGCAAGAATTTGGTGAATTTTCGATTTAAGCAGTCGAGGGATCTTAACAGAGATACTACAACAATAAAGATATCAATGTATCATAATTCTAATTGGGCTTCTACACCACTGGATTATTCTGAAAAATCCGGATTTGATGTTTGAAGGTTGAAAGTTATTATTTATGACCGTCAAGTTGTTTCAGATTCCCTATCATCACCTGCTCGAAAATAAGTAAACCATACGAAATAACAACCTAAACAAAAGACTAGATCCTTACATAAATATTACAATATTAGATAATCCTAGAAATTGGCGAACTGCATCATCTCCGTGGAGGTTTAAATTACCCCATTTCTTTCTTGTATACAATTCCTGCGAGCAGGAGATGAGAAGCATTGAGCAGAAAGCGTTCTTATACACAATTCCTGCGAGCAGGTGATGATAAGCGCTGAACAGAAATTCTTTTACACAATTCCTGCGAGCAGGAGATGAGAAGAGTTGAGCAGAAATTCTTATATACAATTAATGCGAGCAGGAGATGAGAAGCATTGAGCAGAAATTCTTATATACAATTAATGCGAGCAGGAGATGAGAAGCGTTGAGCAGAAATTCTTATATACAATTCCTGCGAGCAGGAGATGAGAAGCATTGAGCAGAAAGCGTTCTTATACACAATTCGTGCGAGCAGGAGATGAGAAGCACTGAGCAGAAAGCGTTCTTATACACAATTCGTGCGAGCAGGAGATGAGAAGCATTGAGCAAAATTTTTTTACACAATTCCTGCGAACAGGAAATGAGAAGCGTTGAGCAGAAAGCGTTCATATACACAATTCCTGCGAGCAGGAGATGAGAAGCGTAGAGCAGAAAGCGTTCGAGGAGCAGCGGCAGCAAGAGCAGCAGCTGCGTCAGGCGTGGCAGCAAGAGAAGCAGGAGGCTTGTCGCATGGAGAGGGAGAGCGCCAAGCAGAGGTGAGATTTAGCCTCAGATTGACGATTATTTTTATCAAGCTTTAATTATTATATTGGACAGGATGAGGGAGATATAGTTTTATGTGAAACTATGCTTCCTTCCAAGTCGATTTTGATACCATATCAAAAACAAAGAAAATTCGTATTGGGTTAGTTAACTGAATATTTTTAGTAAACTCAGCCGGTGAGTCTGTTTGACCTCATCTTATCATTGTAATTTGATGAGTTTAGTTTATTTCATCGCAAACATCAACATGAAAAGTTATAGATGCATTACATTAAAGATGGCCAATGTTGAGCCTCAGTCTGCGTTCAGGCTGGAATTGGAGCTTCAACGCAGCGAACAGATCGCAACTGAACGGGCGCTCGCGGTGAGTAAAGCTCACGCAGCGGAGCTCGCTGAGAAGAAAGAAAGTCATGAGCGTGAAGTGAGCGCTCTCATCTGTGAGCACAGGGCCCAGACCGCTCATCTGCTCAGCGAAGCTGAACGCGTCAAACTGCAACTGGAGAACACAATAGCGAGCACTCACCAGGAATACCAAGTTAGAACAAAGATAATTCATGTAATGTATATAGAATAAAGGTATAAAATGAAATTAATCAAAACGCTTGCTGCTCGTGATCATCTTTGGGCTTACTACGCGTACTTAATTACGGCTCCAAGCGGGAAGAAGCAAAGTACGAGGAAGAATACAAGTTTCTTTGTTGGCATTCACACTTTATATAATTTCTCTGTAGGCATAATTCACACTGAGAAGACATAATTTTAAAAAATTTTCTAGCTTATAGTCAGAGTTTCTGATTAACAAATTTTTTAAATTTGAAATTCAGAATTTAGAAATTTTATGTTTTAATGACTGACCTTGAATTCTGTATTATAAAGTGATGGTATTTACTTTTTACGTTTGTCCAACTGACGATGGAGCTGGACTCTGGAACATTTAGCTTTATAAATATATGGTGAATTACTGTGTCATCTTCTTTGTTTTTAAATTCCTTGATAGTTTCTCCATTGGGTGTCACGGATTTCAAACGTTGCATTATCTCAGTCAAAAAATCTCACACTGCGAAACAGAAATTCGGGTTCGTGGTTTTAATAAAAGCCTATGTTAAAAATTCAGACCGAAAACAATTTCAAGCAGGTATCACCAAATTCTCTGCAGTATCCCTAGTTATTTGAATGAAATCAGAGTTCCGCACGCAGGAAAATCACAAACATTCCTGAAATCATTTGGAATCAATCAAGGTTTGAATTGATCAGAAGGTTATTTTTGATCCTGGGTCCTTCGGTCATCCTTGAGACGTTCCACTGGCCGGAATTGCCATTCAACCCATTAAATCTGTTGTGATATGCCTTTAGGGTCAAATAAATTGCCATTCAACTCATTAAATCTGTTGTGATATGCCTTTAGGGTCAAATATATTGCCATTCAACCCATTAACACAGGTAAGCAAATGTTATACATAAAAAATATAACTCGGTACTCACTGCAGTGAGTGAGCGAGAGCGCATTTTCTCGTCGACGAAAACGTGAAGTCACGGACGGGCAGAGTGACAGACAGACATGGCGAGCACAATAGTGCATTTTTTCCATAAATGAGAAAATGCGCTAAAAATACAGACGAATATTAACATCAATTAACGGCCATAAAGATAGAATTTGAGCGGGTTATCTGAATTTATTTGTGGCATCAAATTTACTGGGAATTGAAGCACACGCTGGACGATGACATGGCACTGGGTTGTGCGGCTTGAGGGATCACATTTCCGCTTGTGATCATCTATGAACTAATTGTATAACCTTAAACCTTTCAGCCTTATTGCAAAAATTTGGAATAACCTTACCAAGTTTTCTCAGAAGTCATGGAATTTGTGTAGATATAACAAAAAAAAAAAAAACTTATTTGGAGGTGCTAAAAAAAATTGATCATTTTTTTCGGTATTACGTTGGTTGCATGTATGATCGCAATTGATATGAAAAATTATAGTCTAAGCAACAATGTTAGTTTAAGAAAATACCTAAATGACAATTTTGGCCTAAGTTTAGCGGCCAAAAAGCGGCGCGTCGGAATATCCCCGCGGGGTTACCGAGCTCACGGTGCCCATTGGCGATAATTGCATTATTTCTCCTTCATGTATAATCAGATATATCTTTTGATGATGATCAGGTCGCAGGCGCTGTGGGGGGAGGCTGAGGCCAGGGCAGCTGAGCGCAGCGAAGAGCAGCTGCGTCTGCGCCTGCTGCAGGCGCGTGCAGCTGCAGCACAGGCGCAGGAAGAGGTCGTCTGTCTGCGTGCTCGTCTGCACACGCAGCATGTGGAGCTGCAGCATCTGCAACAGGTGATCAAAGTCTGCAGTAGGTGGCTAAATTATCACAGTAAAATCTTTTCAAATTGCTTTAAATTGTAAGGAATTGACACAAACAATTTTGATTTAAAAATTTATTTAAATATATATTTGATTTATTTTGTATAGTTTCAACAGAATTTTGTAAAATTAAATATAATTTAATATGGATCTTAAAATTATATATGGATGTAACTAAAATAATGCACGTTATGGTCGTAGTTTTGAGCCAAGTTCAACTTCCCGCAGTGACAAAATGAGCTTATATATAATTGTTACAAAACGAAAATGATACGGCATTAGCACAAACGAGAAGGGCAGAGAACGAGGTTTACAGGAAAAACTGTAGGAATATTTAATAACTTGGGAATGTGGAGTTTTTGAAGATGAAAATTTGTAGACAACGCAAATAAAGTTCGATAGAGGCGACCACCTCTCGGATCTGCATAAAATAAACAACGAACCTTCTAATTAATGTGCATATCACCCTTAAATTTGGTGTCCCCTATACCTCCAAACAAAAGAAGCTAGATCGTGCTTTTTTCTTTGAAGTTTTGAACATTCACGAAAAATTAGGTATCGTTGGAAAAAAAGAATTTCTCACAAATGAAAAGAAAACATTCAAGTTACAATTTTTCAGAAAGCAAACAATCAAGACAAAATTTACGCTATGATCGTAGGATCGGTGTCCCCTATACCTCCAAACAAAAGAAGCTAGATGTGCGCTCTAGATTGATCCTTTTTTCTTTGAACTTTTGAACATTCACGAAAAATTAAGTTTCGGTGAAAAAAAAAGAATTTCTCTCAAATAAAATAAAAACATTTGAGTTACAATTTTTTAGAAAGCAAACAATCAAGACAAAATTTACGCTATGATCGTAGGATCGGGCGATGTGATCAGTTAGGAGCGTAATCTCACAACAATAAATCTAAAAATGCCTACTCGTAGAGGCCACGCAAGTTTGTGGCTCAAAACTTGAAGTAATAAAGAAGATAAACTGGGCAGTTCCAAGTATTTATCACCAAGTTTTTGTAAAAATTGTTTTAACGACAGATTTAATTTCATTGTGACTAAGAAATGAGTCCTTTCGGCAACAAATATCGAGTTACTTGGAGCTATTTTGTGAATGAGTTCGAAAGAAGTGCATTTTAACTTACGTAGTGACTTGGATAAATTGGATATTGAATGCGCTGGTCGTAGCAGTTGTGTTGTCAGAGTTAATTTATCATCAGTCACATTTCAATAATGTTACTTGAGGCTAATTTGTGAATGAATTCGAAAGAAGTGCATTTTGTGTTGCAGTGACTTTGATAAAGAGGATATTGGATGAGCTTGTCGTAGCAGTTGTGTTGTGAGAGTTAATTTATTATCAGTCACATTTCAATAATATTTTTCAGATGGTGCAAGGAGGTGATGAAGGAAACACCAATTCTTGAGGGCTTTATTCAGAGACGACGGCCATCAAAAAGTATTTAAATTATTAAGTTAGGTACGCGTCCAGAAATTCGTTCAGCCGCCGTCGCCACACAACTGCCAAATGGTACAAAATTTTACAATTCACTACCGTACTTTACTTTTACCTCTTTTGTTTTGCTTAGAGCTTAGTTTTACTAGTTACGTAATTTATCTGCTGCAATGTTAAGAGAAACACGATTATTCAATTTTTACTCTTTGCAGTTCGACGGCTGCAAATAGAGCAACGTCGAAAATAGAGCATATTTATTTTTCAAATGTTGAACAGCGAGGGAAAATTATTCGTTTTTCACGATAAAATTTGAAGGAAAAAGTATAAATTATCATTTATAAATTGTAAATTTCAGTCCAAGCAAACTACAATGCAGGCGTTTTGAAATTATGCGATAAAATTTATCACATAAATAATAAACATAAAAAGGGGAACCTGTATCAGATAAAGCTTCCCCGATGGGCATTAATTACTATACTAAAGAGAGCAGGAAAGGCAGATTTATAACATGTGAAGAACGCTGTGTAGGGAGACATACAACGCACAAGGTATCGAATATCCAAACGCCTCTTGTTTGATTTACGTTATTTGGGATTAGTTATGTAATTTCGAAGTGAAATGTATGCGATTAAATAAATTTAAATTCAATAAACCGTTTATTTTGGAACTTGAGACCCATTGTAGCTGAACAAAGAACGAAACTTAGCTATATGATTAATTATTAATCTTATCTGGTAAAAATTTACTCTTCCTTCTGAAAATTATTCGTCGCCGCGGTAAATGTTGGTACAGCCGCGTCTTTAAAGGCTCTCAAAATAGTTTTCTCACGAACAAAAACCAGAGGAAGTAAAGTATAAACCGCATGCAGAGTTCGCTAAGAAAAATACGTCTTTCAACACATCCTCTCTTAAGGAGGAAGCCAAGAGGTCAAAACTAGTGAGAAAAATGGTAAATTATCCCGTCTAAGTTAGCACGGGAGTTTTGCGAGACTTCAATTTACTCATGGAGCAGTTTCATGCCGTCTTAAGTTCAACGAACCGCGCTTTTCGAAGAACCCACCAAAACTCCATTTATCTTGCTGTAATTTCGTTAAAACTTGTTAAAATAAACATTGCATTTGCACGAGCAAGCGAAGTTGTTTTAATTTCAAATGATTTGGGGCATGAATGATACAAATGATGATATTATTGATACATGTTTGCTTACTTTTCATTTACAGTAATGAATATGTGGCAATTTAAATAAGTGTTGTTCTCAAATGAAGGCTCATTCCCCTCCATGGATGATATTTTAATATTTGCAACATCCTTAAATATGCGATTAGATCATATTTGTGTGTTATTATCGACAAAATATGATATCACACATAATAGTTCTATACGATTAAAATATTATTTCATTGTCGTATTAATGTATCCGATTGAACCTCAGAGACTCAACGGCAGCAGAAGTGACTAGCCATTTAATATAGATATTTTTACGCACTAATAACAGGATAAATGCTGTTCGTATATCTTCAAATTGACACACAACACGTCGCTGGCATAATCTCGTACGAATACACAGCAGCTATCACTATGCAGTCGCTGAGTTTGTGTACGTCTTACAAACATAAAGCCGGCTGCTATAGAATCAATGAGTGTACGGCTTGCATGTGTTTAATACCGGCGGTGGCCGCTATAGAATCCATGAGTGTACGGCTTGCATGTGTATAATTCCGGCAGTGGCTGCTATAGAATCCATGAGTGTACGGCTTGCATGTGTATAATTCCGGCAGTGGCTGCTATAGAATCCATGAGTGTACGGCTTGCATGTGTATAATTCCGGCAGTGGCCGCTATAGAATCCATGAGCCGTTGCCTGCGGTAGCGTCACGATCATTGCTAGGAGTAATGAACGCAATTACTGAAGCAGTAACTTGGCCAGAGTCATTGGTTGCATTTAATCGGCGATAAAATGGACAACTTGCACCAAAACTTGGTCAAGTTCGAGTACAGATCTCACTGGCGACAGCCAAGCAGCCGTGAACTGTCGATACAGTTGCGTTGGTCACTTGAAAATTATTTCAGGCAAAATGCTGGCTGGTAGCTGAATGTAGTGTGTGAATTGAATTTAACGCAATTACCCGGATATAGCAACAATATTTTCGGCAAGTTGTGTTTTATGTGCTGACTGCCTTCTACACAAACAAGTAGGAGGAATATTTGCGGTAACCTTGCAGGAAAATTTATACATGGGGGCCCATAACCCAGAATGATACTGAGCTGGATAACCCAGAATCTGTTTGGCTCCACAACCTAGAATTCTGGTGAGCTGCACAACCTAGAATACGGTTGAGCCATACTAATTAAAGAACACTCTACGTGTTGAGATGCACAACCTACTCGTAGAATGCTTCTGAGCTGCACAACCTGAAGTACGGTTGAGCCATTATTATTTAAAATGCTGGTGATCTGCACATCCTAAAATGCTGTTTAGATTCGCTACCTTAAATATTGTTGAGACGTTCAGCCTGTATAGCTGTTGAGCTGTTCAAACTGGAATGCTGCTGAGCCCTTCAAACTGGAATGCTGCTGAG